GATTATGATGCTTTACCTGCATGAATGTATATGCACTACATGTGTACCTGGTACGCATGGAGTTTAAAGAGAGAATTTGATCCCCTAGAGCTCGAGTTGTAGGCGGTTGTGAGCCGCCAAGTGGGTGATGGAAACTAAACATGGGTCCTCTGCAAGAGTTCATAACTGCTGGGCCATCTCTCTAGACCTCCTTTTCTCCTCTCAGTCATCACTCTAACGTAACAGTCCATAACACAAGTTAGTAAAAAGTCATGTAAGCACCTTAGAAATTGAAAGCATTTTACATACTTAGAAAGATATGCCCATCTTCAGAGAGTGCCTTTGTCAAATGAAAACACATAGGAAAACAGGAATGTTGTGGGGAAGGGCCAGGGGAAACTACCCTTATTTCTTCATTACGGGTGAATGAATGAAGTTAAGGTGGCATCAGCAAGGGGTAGGGAAGCCTGGGTGAGTCATACAAAGACAGATGAAGAACAGAATCACTGGGGGAAAGGAATAACTCAGAATTGTTTTGAGAAACAAAGCTTGTATGGGTTGGAATGCTTTTCTGCCATGAGTGTCAGTGCTCTGGGAATTCAAATACCAGCCATTTGAGGCATGCCCAGTGAAAGCTAAAAGTCATAATGACAGTTGACATTGTCAGAAAATACAGTTTGATTCTGATTTTGTAATGTCATTTTAGTTCCTGTGACCTAAAGTACACAGAAGGAGTACAATCCCTCAACTGGACTAAAATCATGAAGACCATTGTTGATGACCCTGAGGGCTTCTTCGAACAAGGTGGCTGGTCATTCCTGGAACCTGAGGGTGAGGTGCGTGAGTGTGGGGTTTCTTGTTTTATTTTTGTATGCAGTGTTGCCTGAGGTCGGTTAGGCACTTAAGAGAATGACACGGAGAAGTAGCACATAAAGGACCTGACCAGCAGAGAGAAGCTAAAATCATAACTCAGTATTAATGTTTCTTTAGGTTAGTTTTACAGGTAAATGATTAATTCACTGGGGATTGGTAGTCATTGCCCACATTTCTTTGAATTTATAAAATTATTCCTCACAGAGTTTCTAGTGTTTGGAGGAGATGGAATTGAGGCTTATTATAAAAAGTATTTTAAAAATAGTCCTCCCGAGACTGAAGAGAAGTTAAGAGCACTGCCTGCTCCTCCAGAGGACCCAAGTTAAATTTCTAGCAACCACATGGCAGTCCATGACCATCAGACTCCAGTTCCAGGAGATTCGAGGCGACCGTACTGCCACACCCAGTTTATAGACATACATGCAAGCAAGATTCCTATACACGTCAAATATAAAGAAATGAATCTTTAAAACATAAATAATAAAGAAATAGTCACCAGGTGTGGTGATGCACACCTTTAATTTCTGCACTCAGAAGGCAGAGGCAAGCAGGTAGGTCTCTGTGAGTTCAAGACCAGCCTAGTCTATATGCGAGTGCCAGATGAGGACTACACAGTGAGACCCTGTCTCAAAAATTTTTTTTTAATTAAAAACTTGTTTTAAATAGAGCCCTCCTTGGCATAGTGCATTAATATAAAGTGTGTTTCTGTCATTAATTTCCACAGATGAATTGGCTGTTTCAGAGTCTAATAAGTATACCTTAATAAATTAATTTTAAGACAAGTCCTTTATCTCTCTTGGTCATTTGAGTTTCTTATGTTTTGTTTTTATATATGAAATGCTAGTGTACTAAGTACATTCAATCAATTTGTTAATAAGGCAAATATGATAAAAGTCGTAAATGGGTCTTATTCTTTCTGTACTTCACCAGGGAAGTGATGCTGAGGAAGGAGACTCTGAGTCTGAGATTGAGGATGAGACTTTTAATCCTTCTGAGGATGACTATGAAGAGGAAGAAGAGGACAGTGATGAAGATTATTCATCAGAAGCAGAAGAATCAGGTTAGAGAGTATTTGTTGGACTAGAGAAATGACTCAGTGTGTGTAACAGCACTTGCTGTTACAGATCCTGAGCTCGGATCCTCTGCATGTACGTAGAAAGCCAGCCACAAACTCCCTTGTAATAGCACCAGGGAATGATGGGGGGCAGAGACAAGAGAACCACGGGGACTTGTAGGCCACCAGCCTGGCCAAAATCAAAAGCAAACAAACAGGAGCTCCAGGCTCTCTGAGAGGCCCTGTTGGAAGGAAATAAGGTGAAGAAGAGGGCATTAAACACCTTCCTCTGTACATGCACAGGCCAATGCACCTGCACACAGAGAAAATACATTTTAAAGTCGAAAACACGCCGGGCACACGCCTTTAATCTCAGCACTTGGGGGAGGCAGAGGCAGGCGGATCTCTGTGAGTTCAAGGCCAACCTGCTACAGAATGAGAGCCAGGACAGGAACCAAAACTACACGGAGAAACCCTGTCTCGAAAAAGCGAGAGAGAGAGAGCGCTTCCTCATCTGATACCACTCCTAGAGATTGCTTTTTAAAAAGGAAAATATTCTACATTCTGTTATATTTCTACATGATTAATGTGCAATCAATATTTTTCCAGACTATTCCAAGGAATCTCTGGGCAGTGAAGAAGAAAGCGGGAAGGACTGGGATGAGCTAGAAGAAGAAGCTCGAAAAGGTTATTTTAAGATTTGTTGTTTTGGGTGATTTATTCATTTAATTTATGTGCAAATTTCTAACACCATTCTTTGTCTTGAGGTGTTAATGTTAGGAGCCAGTGAGAACTGGAAAAGAACTCTATAGAATTGTTTGGGTGGGAGGTGGGGAGATGGCTCAGCTGGTAAAGTGATTGCCATTCAAGTTTAAGAACCTGAATTCGGGTTCCTAGAGCCCTTACACAAAAACTGGACACAGCAGTGTATGCCTGTAATCCCAGCGCTGGGGTGGCAAAGATAGGAGGATCCTTGGGGGTTAATGGCTGACCCATCTACCCCATTAGTGGACTCTTAAGTTCAGTCCCAGACCCTGTCTCTTAAGATGGAGAGCGGTTGAGGAAGACAGCTAATTTCAACCTCTGCCCTGTGTGCTCCCCCAAACACACAGACACACAAAATACATAAATATATATAAAACAAAATCTCAGCCACGGGTAGAACTTGACCAGAGGGAGAGGTAAGATCTAGAATGTGTCCATAGGCTCCAGGTGGACTTGATTCCATCTCTTCAATCTTTTCAGTGTGCACAGAAGTGTGATTCCCATAGTCAGAAAGTTACAGTTAGGAATATTGTATAGTTGGTGTTACTACTCTAAAGCCAAGCCCCAAATAGAAATTATTAAAAATTAAAATCAATGTGTTAGCTGCTGTATCCCTAACGTTGTGGTAAGTGCTTTGGGCAGGTAGCCTTTTAATTCTCCTTGTAAATAAACTCAGGCTCCGAAAGATTGAGCACTTGTCTAGGCCACATAACCAGTAACTGACTAAATGAAGATTAACACTCACATTGACATACTGGCTCATGCTATCCATTAATAGTAGGTATGTTAAGCTAACGAATTACTCTGCCTTCTGCTTAGCGGACCGTGAAAGCCGTTATGAGGAAGAAGAAGAACAGAGTCGAAGTATGAGCCGGAAGAGGAAGGCATCTGTACATAGTTCAGGCCGTGGCTCAAACCGTGGTTCCAGACACAGCTCTGCACCCCCCAAGAAAAAGAGAAAGTAATATGAACCTTGGTCCTATGCTCCATTCTCTCTGCAGACAACTGCTAAAAATCCGACATGACTTAGAAACTGTTTTTCCTTTTGATTTTGTTGACGTTTTGCCGTATGTGTTTATGGGTTTAGGGGCCATTTGTGTGGACCAAGCTACTCGGGGAATTGCAGGCCCACCAGGACACGTGCCAGCGGCCCCGTTCCGATGGCTGGCAAGGGAGGCCATGTTGAAGGGCAGAGGCTCCTCCCACCCTTGATACCGTTTGTTCTCTTCTGACAAGCTATCTCTGGTGTTCACAGCTGAATTACCAGGACAGTGGTATAAACTGACCACTAACTATTTCTACTATGGTTCTTTTTTCTTTGCATTTTTATTTTTCATGGCTTTTTGAGACAGTCTCGCTATGTAGCCATGGCTAACCTTGAAGTCACTGTAAACCAGGCTGGCCTCAGACTTGTAATCCCTCTGGCTCTGCCTCCCAAGTGCTGGTGGGATTACAGCCCTGAGCCACCATACTTAGCTGAAGCATGGTTCTGGCCCCGCAGGTTCAGTCCTCCTTCGGTCCCTTTAAGTTCCAGATCTGAAGTTCTCAAGAAAGGTTCTTGGGCTTTGCTAAGGATCATGGTATACCATGGCTGAGCTAAAGGCAGAGTGGCTGGCTGATGGCTCGTCTCAAGTTTTCCTGGTTTCTTGCCTCATGCACTTTTGGGGCATTTCTGCTGCCTCAGAAGACATAAGCACTGGCACTCCGTGGCTGGGCTTTTCTCCCTTCAAGTCCACTTGTGGTACAGTGCTCGAAGGCAGAGTCACCACTGTCTCTTCTGAGACATCTAAGGAAGAATGGCCGTGCTGTATACTCTGCAGGTGGAATCTAGAGGGAGGCTCAAAGGACTCTACACAGATCTGAAAGAGAGTAAGGCATGTTGGCCTAACGTATCTTGACAAGAAGAGACGCTGGAAGGAGGCACACCCACAAGGCTGGACTCTGCTGCTCCTGCCTTTACTTTCTCTGCGGCACCCTGTGTTGGTCACTTCTGATGATCAGCTCTGAAGTACTGGGGACTTTCTCTTGCTGCCCTCCCTGCAGGCTCTGCATCCACCTGTCCCACTTCGCCTCCTCTGCTGTGACTAAGAGAAGGGGCTTCTCAGATTTTATGTTTGTTTGTTTTCTCTCCTTAGCAGTAGGACTTGATATTTTGAATTTTGGAAGAACTAAAAGATAAATAAACTGGGATTTTTTTTGTTTTGTTTTTTTGTAAATTTGTCTTTTATGGCCATTTCTTTGCAGTTCCTGAAATGAAGTCTTGCCTACTAAAGTGTTATGGTGTTAGAACATAATGCCTTTATCCAACTAGTACCACAGAAGTTCACTGGTGGCAGTAAGCCTCACCATTAGTTTGAGAAACAGCAGATAGCACAGGAGACCAGATTTATGGCATAGCATGTTACTTTATAAGAGACTCTCCCTGTGATTCCCTCAAATCTTAAGAGTGGAGTAGTTCTTTCATGAAAACAAATCTTCAGTCATCTCCTTGTAAATGCTATGGAGGGCAGCAGCTGCTCGAAGGGAGACCTTCAGCCTTCCAATTTGGATGGCCTGGTCCCCGGGGCTCACAACTGTGGAATAGGATGAAGATGTTAGACAGTAGCATGTTCCAGTCACACACGTTGTTTGTTTGTTTGTTTGAGACAGGGTCTCTCTGTGTAGCTTTGATGCCTTTCCTGGAACTCACTTGGTAGCCCAGGCTGGCCTCAAACTCAGAGAGATCCGCCTGGCTCTGCCTCCCAAGTGCTGGGATTATAGGCGTGCGCCACCACCGCCCGGCTCCAATTATAGGAGTTACCTGCCTCATTTCATAGGAAAGTGAAACCATTATAATGTGATGTACACACATGAGGAAAAGGTTAAGGTGCTTTGGAGACCTAAGGAGCACATAAGCCAGAATAGAGAAGAAAGGGTTTTTAGGGCTGGCCAGACAGCAGGTCAATCCTCAGAACCTACATAGTGGCAGGCAAGAAACTGACTCCTACAGATTGTCCCCTGAGATTCACACCTGTGTACACATACATAATAAACGTTGAAAACAAAATAGACCTTTTTTCTCCACTTACGGGGATTGAGTCTAGACAAGCATAGACATGTTCCAGAATGAAATACATACAGCTGTTGGGGAAAGACTTCAAAAGCATTTGTCCACCAACTTTACAGATAATGATGTCAACAGGTTAAAGTTACACATGAGTGGGTATTTTCCCTGAGCGAATGGAACTAAGAAGTATAGAACTGTATTACTAACTCTCTAGTTCTTGCTCCAGGACATCTCTTCCAGTTTCAAGTATCTGCCACAGTTCAAGGTACGCATAGCCGACATCTTGACACTCTTTCTTTTCTTCATCCAGAGGATCACTTACCACTGTAAATTTTAAACTGAAAACAAATGAAGAAGAATCCATTTAATTCAGCCTGTTTTCAAACTAAGATACCGTTAAAGTTACAAACACGTGTAATCCCACTCCGGAGCAGAGGCAGGCAGATCTCTGAGTTCAAGGCCAGCCTAGTTTACAAAGTGAACCCCCTCCCCCCCCCAAAAAAAAAAGTAATCATGGAGTTTGGAGAGGTGGCTAAGGGAATAAAGCATTGGCTATTCTTCCAGAGGACCTGGGTTTGACTCCCAGCACCCACCCACCTGCCTCACAATCATCACTCTAGTCCCACCTGCTGCCTCACAATCATTTAACCCTCCAGCAGATCTGATAGCCTCTGTGGGCACTCCACGTGGCACACAGACACGGGCTGAATACCCATACACATAAAACAAAAATGGAGAGGTAATCACAAATAATAGTGTTTTCCCTGAATCTGAATCCCATTCCCTGCCTCCCTCCTTTCGAAGGAGCCAGAAGTCAGGACTCATTTTGGGGAAGGGTTAGGCATCCGTAGAAGTCTGGACAACCTTTGGGAGTTGGTTCTCTATTTCCACCATGTGTATCCTGGGGATTGAACTCAAGCCATCAGATTTGGAAGCAAGCACTTTTACCCATTAACCTGCCTCAGCCTTTTTGAGACAATCTCATGAAGCCCAGGCTGGCCTGCAACTCACTACATAGCTATCCAAGACTGGCCTCCTGACTCCACCTCCCAAGTGCTATGGTTGCAAGTCTGCTGTCCCTCCTGGCTCTTACATTCATCTTCGAAAAACAAGTGCTGCTAATTGTGATGAGACAGCAGGAATGGGGCTGAAAACTCAAGTTCTGAAAGATCATGCCCCTACCTGAAGCAGAGCAGCACACTGGCCATGAGCTGAAGGAGTATACTGACTTCAGACCCCAAGTCTACAGAAAGCCAGGGTACTGGCATTATTGTGGGCTAGGGACAAGATCAAGTGCTGTGGATAACTTCTGTCACTCTTCAACGAGCATTCAAGCAACACAGCAAAGACCACAGAGTCAGAAGTGGGAGCTGAGATTCAAAAGCTGCTCTGACACAAGGTGCTGTCTGCTGTACCATACTGGTCCAGACACCACAGGCAAAGTCAACTGAAATCCAACAGCAAGTAGAAGAGAGTAAAGAAAAGCAAGGTTTTTTAACAGCCAAAGGAAGAGGTAAACAGACAGGCAGACAAACGCCCATACACATAAGTAAAAAGTTTATAAAACTTGGTGTTTGTGCACCACATACATGCATGGTGCCTGTGAGAGGCCAGAAGAGGGCTTTGGATCCCCTGAAATAGAGGTATAGATGGTTGTGAACTGTGGTGTGAATACTAGGAATCAAACCTGGGTCCTCTGAAAGGGCAACCCAGTGCTCTTAACTGCTGAGTCATCACTCCAACCCCACACATACAATTTTTAAAGTATTTTTTTAAATACAAGTATAAACCGGGCAGTGGTGGTTCACACCTTTAATCCCAGCACTCAGGAGACAGAGGCAGGCGGATCTCTGTGAATTTGAGGCAAGCCTGATCTACAAAGCAAGTTCCAAGACAGCTAGGCCTGTTAGAGAAACCATCTCAAAAAAAAAAAGGTATAAGATGGGTATTAGAATGGCACAGTATTGGTGTGCACACAGTACTTCTGTGTATGTGAGAAGTTCGTTAAATGACCTTAGAATATCCAAATGTTCTGTCTGCCCCATGTAGGACACTATCAGGATTCCTATCATTGCTGTGTATGTGAGAAGTTCGTTAAATGACCTTAGAATATCCAAATGTTCTGTCTGCCCCATGTAGGACACTATCAGGATTCCTATCATTGCTGTCACCCCCACACAAGTCCCTGCCACAGGTGAAATACAAACTAAACCTAAAATAACTGAATGGGCAGTCAGATACATAAAGTTGACTCAAGTAGATAGGAGATTCATCAAGAGAAAAATTATTACAGTATTAGCATTAGCGCAAAACTAACCTCAAACTTTGTAAATCCTATCTGAATATCTGCACTGTCAATGTGAAATGGCTTACCATCCCGCATCAGGATCTTGAGCATGCAGCATGGCAAACAGAAACTGTCTTCTGCCTTGTTGTTCCACTGGGTCCAGGTCTATCACTGATAGGTAAAAGAAAACCAAAGAGTAGAGGGATGAGTCTGTAGCTCATAGTACAGTGTTTGCCTAGTGTACAAGAGGCCCTAGACGGGGAAAGGCTATTGTATTGCTATTTGCATACAGGACTCATGACTGATAAATCCTACAGTGATACAAAGCAAACAGGCAAAGGAGGCCTACAGGTTGGCTCCCTGTTTCATAAGATTTTACTGCAAATAGCTAAAATCGAGCTGGTCATAGTGGTGCACGCCTTTAATCCCAGCACTGGGGAGGCTGATCTCTGAGTTCAAGGCCAGGCTGGTCTACAAAAGCAAGTTCCAGGACAGCCAGGACTGTTACACAGAGAAATGCTGTCTTAAAAAAAGAAAATAGCGCCGGGCGGTGGTGGCGCACGCCTTTAATCCCAGCACTCGGGAGGCAGAGCCAGGCGGATCTCTGTGAGTTCGAGGCCAGCCTGGTCTCCAAAGCGAGTACCAGGAAAGGCGCAAAGCTACACAGAGAAACCCTGTCTCGAAAAACCAAAAAAAAAAAAAAAAAAAAGAAAAGAAAATAGCTAAAATTGGAGCTGGAGAAGTGGCTCAGAGGTGAAGAGCATTGAGGTTCCAGGTTCAATTCCCAGCACCCACATGGTGACTAACTACTATCTGTAACTCTTTCCAAGGGATTCCAACACCCTGTCCTGACCTCTGCAGGAACTGCATGCATGTGATGAACAGACATACATGTGGGAAGAATACCCAGGTGTGAAATAAAAATAAATCTAAATAAAATGTTAAAAGAAAATAGCTAAAATCATCTGTGTGCATACAATCTGTGGCTCCCTGCACATGTGTGTGTGTGTGTGTGTGTGTGTGTGTGTGAAATATCAAATATATTGGGCTATGTATCAATCAAATAGGAAGGTAGAAAAATGGATATCATGCCTGACTTTCTCCAAAAATATTTACTTCTAATATTCCTTCCTGTGAAAGCTACTGAGAAACATCTATTAAAATAAAAAACCACACCAGGCATGGCAGTGTTTGCTTTAATCCCAGTACTCTAGAGGCAGAGGCAGGCAACAAATGTCACAGGAAGGAAAGCTAACGCAGAGGAAGGGACATAGCACTGCAAGAGTTAATATCTATTCTAGAATAACAGAAATAATAAAAGTTATGATCCAGTTGTGTGGGAGTGAAGAACATGGATGTAGAGTAGCATAGCTTAAAATTTTTATCTGAGATAGGAATATCTACAATTAGTTTATCATAGAATTACAGTGCAAATAGTATTTAGATAGATTAGTAAATTTAAAAAATAGCCAAAAAAGTTAAAAAGCCATTACAGAGAGTTCAGTCATGGGGTAGGAGTAGAAAGAGTGATTTGTAGAGACACTGTAGAATAAATGACTGCTTAATTAAAATCTGTTTTTCAGGCTTACTTGATATTTTTTAAGCCATATGCATAGACTTCTTTGGTAAATACGATAACTAGGGGAAATGAGTGGATTCACCTCCATCTTGGAAACCCAGAGTAGCTCCGATCCCAACAAATGTCTGGTTGCCTCCTGTGCCCACTCACCATGCAGGGGAGCTCACCCTTGCTAAAGTGGAAGTGGATTTCTTCTCCTGCCCTCGGCTTCCTCAGGGACATCGGAGTCTCTGTCTCAGACAGAGGTAGATCATAGAACTTGTATTCCACATACACCTGCTGTATATTCTCGTCAGACATGACTTCAGCCTCTGGGCAGAAGGCCAGGGAGACAATCTCAATGCACATCTTCTCTGAATCCTGAGATGGAAATATTGATTTCCTAAAGGTTAATGGGGCTGCAGTGTTAACACGATACCCTCTAGAAACTCATCATGGCACACTATAGGACGTCATTTACTGGCAATTCACAGGCAGAGCAGTTACCAACAGATAACGTGACAAAACTGCCAGAGTCACTGGGAAGTTTGTAAAGAGACTCCTGTTTCTATCTCCCACCGAGTCGTTACTCCAAGCCAGCCTTTCCTGGCTCTCTCCACAAAGAATGAAGAAGCTGGGGGTGAAGGTTCACTGGGGAAGCCCAGGCAGGAAGATCCTGACTGGGCTGTGTAATGAGATCTTATCTTTCACACACACACACACACACACACACACACACACACACACACACACACACACTAGGCTGGGCTTGGTGGCACACGCCTTTAATCCCAGCATCTAGGAGGCACAGACAGGTGGATCTCAGATCTTGGCCAGCCTGGTCTACAGAGCAAGTTCTAGGACAGCCAAGGCTACACAAAGAAACCCTGTCTGAAAAAAAAAAATTAAAATTAAAACACACACACACGCACACACATACAAAGGATAAAGAAAAGTGATTTCTGAAAAGATGGATTTTTTGCTTTCTCAATGAAGCCCACACCAGCATTTTTCCGTGAGTTAACAGCAGCTTCAGTCACTAAAGAGCTCAACTTAGACACGTGCCAAAGAGGAGGCCACCAGGCCACACCACAGCATCTGCTCTGCCTCAGCTCCATTTCAAAATCACTGTCACACCATCCTCTCTTTTCATTGTTCTTTGTCTACAGTGGCACAAGAGCTGTCGGTTAGAAGATTGGCATATGTCTAGTTTCCAAAAGCAGACAAATGAACACAAGCCCCTCCTGCAGTGTGGCAGCCAGCCAACATCAAGCCCTGGTACCCTTCCACCGGGGAGGGTCTGTAAGCCCAAGCACCAGCCCCTACCCTGCCGATTCTTTCCAGAAGCAAGTGAAGCTTCTGCGTCTTTAGAGAAATGTAGCGGGGGGCGCAGCCTCCCAACAAGTCTGCATCCCGGTCACGTGGGCTGCCTCTTCAAAACGACGTGTTTGCCGTTTTCTTCTCAGTGACTCACACAAGGTAACCATTGGCTTCTTTCTTCCTCACTACCACTTTTCAAAATGAAAGACTACGCTAAGGGAGATTAGAGGGGAGGCGAGATGGCTCTGAGGTCAAGATCAACTGGCTGCTCTTCCAGAGGCCTCAGTTTCAATTCCCAGCCGCCACATGAGGGCTCAGAGCTGCCCGTAACCACAGGTTCCAGGGCACCTGACTCCCACTTCAAGCCTCCAATGGCGCCAGACATGCATGTGGTACACAGACATACATGCAGGTAAAGAACCTTCACACATAAAATAAAAGTAAATCTAAAAAAAAAAAAAGGAAAGACAAAGCATTAAAGATAAAACGCAACAGAGAAGGACACAACAGACTAGACCACGGCGGTTGAGACTGGCCTGTGTCTCACTCTGAGTTTCTCCACGTTGTGTAAAACAGTGGTTTTTCAGGTAGGCCCCGGCCCTGAGAGACTCCATTTTTGAGGCTGAAAGACAACTGTGCACCTTCGTGGACACGTGACTGGCACCATCTGTCCAGTACTACCCACGTGGCACAGACTGATAAGGGATAGAAAGGAAGCCACCCTATATATAAATTTATCAGGGAAAACTGACTCTCTAGGAGCACATGAGCACATTAAAAGCAGGTCATGAAACCAGGCCCGAGGATTTATCAGAAATGCCAGACTGAGGAAACGTAGCCCTCGCATCTGAGCCCCATAAAGGAAGGACAAGTCCCACCCGTCCTCTGACATCTGACAGCCTGATGTAAATGTCAGGGGACTGGCAGGCTACGAATTCCCGAATTCCCGAAGACTGTCCTAGGGGCTTCTGCTTGGCTTGGTCCCTGCTGTGTGAGGCGACCAATCTATTTCAGTTGCTGTCAGCCTGTCACCCTCCTGAACCTGTCAGCCATGCATCTGCCTGTCCTTCACCTCACTGCTGTAGCTCAACCCCACAGTGCGGCCTGACTCCACAGCAGCAGCCAGGGCACTTGTCAGAGACGCCCAGGAGCTTTGTCACCTTACAGCCACAGAGGCTCCATCGGTGTCGTTTACCAGCTTCTCTGCTCTGAAACGTCTTGAATTTTGCTGTGGCCTCTTGACCCTTTACAATCTTTAAAGTAATTCATAATGTGTGGTTTGAGAGTTAATATCAATGATCGACACTGGAATAAAAGAACCTCTGCTCTCCCCCACAAGGCTGTCAAGGAAAGTATGACTGTCTGGGAAATTGTTTCTATTGAAACTGATGCCTGGTGTGAATTTGTTATTCAGTGATATTCTGAGCCGGGAGGTGGGTGTCGCACACCTTTGATCCCAGCACTTGGGAGGCAGAGGCAGGTGGGCCTCTGTGAGTTCAAGGCCAGCTTGGTCTACAAAGCAAGTTCTAAGATAGCCAGGGCTACACAGAGAAACCCTGTCTGGGGGCGGGGGGGAGGCACCTGCTTGTGACTCTTCTGAGAAGCCTACACCCATGTTCTGTTTTATTCCTTTCCTGAGTCCCTTTCTCCTTCAACAAACTTCAGTCAGCTTCATATTCTTTGCTGTGCTGAAGCCACTGATCCTGATTTTGCCTACATGAGGTCTGTGCCATAGCTCCTCAGGCTGCTGCTGCTGCTGCTGCTGCTGCTGCTGCTGCTGCTGCAGTAAGACTTAGACATTACTACAGGTAGTATTCTCCTTCCTGCGCAGTCTGACACTTCTTGTATTGTATTCCATCAACCTGTGTTCTTAACAACAACAACAACAAAAAGGGGCGGGGGGAGGGGACAGTGACATGGCTCAGCAGGTAAAGGAGGGCGCTAGCTGCCCAGCCTGGCTACCTGAGTTCAATCCCCGGGACACACATGGTAGAGAAGGACCACACCCCCAACGCCTGCAGGTTGTACTCTCATACCCACACACATGTAGTGGCACACACGCTCAGGTGCGCACAATGAATAAATAAATGTCATTTAAATTTTTATTTAATATTTACACATCTCTCCAGCCTTGTACTCAAATCACTTATTTGACTTCCTTACCTTTAGTACAAAGGCCATCATTTCCTTTTAGCCCAGGCTGGCCTTGAATTCTTTGTGGAGTGGAGATAACCTTGAACCTCAGTTCCTTCTGCCTCCATCTTTCAAGTGCGACGATCACAGGCATGAACCACCACCAGGACTTCATGCATTCTGGATAAGGAGTCTATCAACTAAGATGGACTTCCTGTCCCTTCATTTCTCCTTGAATGTCTACTGCCTGTTTTCTGTAGCCCTGCCTCTAACTGTCCTCCTCCTTCCCCTCTCCCATCTAGCTCAGAAAGCAGTGGAAATTTTTGAAGGCAAGTGTTGAAGGACTAGGAGGTACACATATCCTTAGGGCAGATAGATGGGGGAGGAGCCACAGCAAGATAGAAAAAATGTCAGACTTCCAAGACGGCAAGCATGTAGCTTCTTCCTCACCCTCCTCTCCTGAGTCAAAGGCCTAGCAGCAAGGCAGCAGAACTTGGCCGTTTCCGCCGTGTAGTTCTGGATTTAGAGTCAAGAAGGATAAAGGAAGGGGGCTATGGACTCTTCCACCACGGCTAAGGAAAGCTGCTGAGGCCAGGCCTGTGTCAGGGGAGTCCCTGTACCCAAGTCTAGAGAGGCCACTGTGTGAAGCTGTCAAGGTGAAGCCTGGATTCTCCTGGAGACCCCAGGATGCTGGAGATGCCACAGCCATAGCACAGCTGAGCCAAGAAGAGCGGCAGACAGGGTGTGGAGCCAGCCCGAGGAAGAAACGGTGCTGCTGTCAACAAAACTGGAAAGAGTGGGAGGTATGAAGAGCCATCTAAGAAGCCCTTTGGCATCAGGCATAAAGATACAGAACATGGAGCTTGCCCTGCAGGTCTGCTGTCTTGCTTTGGTCCAGTCTTTCCATACTGTACCCCATCCCTCCCTTGGTAGTGACAATCTATATACTACGCGATTGTATGCTGAAAATACGTAATTTGTTTTTTTACTTTTATAGGGGCCATAGTTAGAGGTTTCCTTAAGTCTCAGAAGGGACCTTCGACTTTGGACTTTGAAATTGTTGAGACAAGATAGAGTATCGGGACTTTTGAAGCTGTACTAAATGCATTTTTGCGTTATGATACGGCTCCAAGCCTATGGGGGCCAGGGGGTGGGATGGGGCGGTTTGAATGAGAACGGCACCCATAGGCTCCTATGTTTGAATGCTTGGTCCCCAGTTTGGGAATGTTTAGGAAGAATGACCTTATTGGAAGAGATGTGTCACTGGGGGTGGGCTTATAGATTTCAAAAGCCTCTCTCTCTCTCTGCCTGCAACCCAGGGATCAGGTGTAAGCCCTCAGCTGCTTCTCCAACACCATGCCTGCCAGCCCACTGCCATACCCCACCATGATGTTCATGTACTAACCCTCTGAAAGTGTAAGCAAGCTCCCAGTTAAATGCTTCTATTAAAAAAAAAAAAAGAAAAGAAAAGAAAGAAAGAAAAAAGAAAAGCCTACCAGCTTAAAATGAAGGCCTGGTGGGCTTTTTCTCCCCCTAGCAGGAGCTTTCTGCTGATAGCCCACCAGGCAAGTTCAAGGCTAGATCATGGCATGCTTAGCTCAAAACTCTGGACCCATCAGCCTCCCTGTCTTTGTTCAAACTGACCAACCCTAAACTAAGGGCAGGAGATGAAGAAAATGGGCCACAGACATGTCCACAGGCCAATCTGATGGAAGAAATTATTGAGGTGAGGTTCCCTCATTGCAGACAACTCTATTTTGTGTCAAGTTGACAAAACTTACCCAGTACAGGGAGTCAAACAAGTATGGGTAGCTCATGCCTGTAATCCCAGAACTCAGGAGGCTTAGGCCAGGCTGCCACACAAAAGTTTGAAGCAAGCCCAGGCTTTGGTGTGAGCTTAATGATAGGAATTCCAGCCTCGCCCCCATGATCGCCCATGCCCCAGCCGGACACTCAGTCATTTCCACCTAGTCCTTTCCAGGATATATATCCTACATAACCCATGCGCTGCGCGGTCCCGTAAATTGTGTGCGGCATGACCACGTGATCTATGCGCATGCGTAGAGTAGCCACGTGGGCTGTGTGGGCATGCTGGGGTGGTCCTTAGAAGGGAGATCCCATGTCCCCTCCCCCTGTTCTTCACATGACCTTTCAGCAGGCCTGAACACATTTGTCCCTTTCTCCTTTCCTTAATAAAACTCCTGTTAGTGGGCTTTGTTGTGTTCCGTGACTTTTCTTCGCAGGGTAAGAGCACTGCTAAAATCAACACTTCTGTCTCAAAGAAAACAAGGAAAGGGACCGAGCCGCCCCTAAGAGGAGCATCCCATAATCACTTGGAAAAAGAATGAGCAACTGCGAGGATTTTTGTGAGGTAATGAAATCCAGCATGAAAGTTCCATCAACAGTACCCAGTAGACTGCTGTCTAAATTAAAGGTGATGTACCACTCTAATTGGATATTGATTATCAGTTAGGAGGAAGGAATGAGCTGGGCATGGTGGCGCACACCTTTAGTCCACTCAGGAGGCAGAGCAGGAGCATCTCTGAGTTCCCAGGCCAGGCGTGGCTACATAGTGAGACTGTCTTAGTTTGTCACTCTTCTATTGCTGTGAAGAGACACCATGGACCAAGGCAACTCTTATAAGAAAAAGCATTTAGCCGGGCGGTGGTGGCGCACGCCTTTAATCCCAGCACTCGGGAGGCAGAGGCAGGCGGATCTCTGTGAGTTCGAGGCCAGCCTGGTCTCCAAAGCGAGTACCAGGAAAGGCGCAAAGCTACACAGAGAAACCCTGTCTCGAAAAACCAAAAAAAAAAAAAAAAAAGCATTTAATTAGGGGCTTGCTTACAGTTTCAGAGGCTTAGTTCGTTATCGTTATGGCAGAGAGCCTGGCAACAGACAGGTGTGGGGCTGAAGAAGTAGTAGAGAGCTACATCCTGATCCGCAAAAGGAGAGAGTGGGCCTGGCATGAGCTTTTGAAACCTCAAGGCCCACCCCCAGTGACACACTTCCTCCAACAAGGCCACACCCCCTAATCCTTGTAATCCTTTCAGACAGTTCATTCCCTGGTGACCAGGCACTCAAATATATGAGCCTATGGGGGGGCCGTTCTTATTCAAACCACCACAGAGAACCTGTCAGAAGGAGGAGGAAGAGGAGGAAGAGAAGGAGGAGGAGGAGGAAGGAAGGAAGGAAGGAGGGGGGTAGGGTCAAAAACTGCAGAAACTAAAGCATTTCTCTGAGCCTTTCACGAAGAATCCCTTCCTTTCCTGCGGTCTCCATCTCCTACAGGAAGTCTGCTCACCTGAAGAACGGCCTCAACTGATCTGGGTGTGAACAAGGCCACAGTGAAGGACATGAGTGGCCAGGGATCCAAACAGGACAGAGAAGCGCTGCACTCGGTTGCCCTTTACATCAAGATAAGAAAACACTTCCATCGCTGTAGCAACAGACTCCCTGTTCACCAGGTAACGCTTTTCACGCAACTTGCATTCCTCAACGGGCTTTTTGAACCTGGATTTGAATCTCGCATGTGTAGCCACTAAGCACTCTGCTACTAGCGACCCTTCTCTAACAGGCCAGGGTCACCCCAGGTACTTACAGCTTTAGGACACATCTGAGATTGGGGTGTCACTATGACGTCATCACTGTCGGGGGTTTGTGTTTCGCTGGCTTCAGAAGCTTGTCCAGAGGATGCTTGGTCTGCCAGAGGAGAGGCTACATTGCAGAACACTTTCAAAACACCTCCTCCACTCCACACCAAGTCAGTGCCCACACCAGTTCCCACCTGATCGCGTTTACTTCAGAATCAAACTCAGCACTTCGAAGGTTCACTCACTCAGAAGTCTGTTGTCACAGGGTACATTTCGGGGGGCAGGGGGTGGGGGTGGGGAGAAAAGGATGACCGGAAAAAAGGAGAGAAAAGGGCAGTGGAGGGAAAGGGGGAGAAGGGAAGAGAAAGGAAGGTATAGGCTGGAGAGATGGTTCAGTTACAAGCACCGGCTCCTCTTCCAGAAGACCTGAGTTCAATTCCCAGTGCTGGCAGGGCAGCTCTCAACCATCTGTAACTCCAGCTCTAGGAAGGCCTAACACCCTCTTCTGATTTTTGTGGCCAGCTCGTATCATGTGGTACATAGACATACATACACATACATACATACATACATACATACATACATACATACATACACATAAAATAAAAATTAAAAAATTAAAATGTATATAAAAATGAAAGAAAGTAGGCAGGCAGGCTAATCTCTTTAGGGGTTTGAAGAAAACAACACCACGAAGGAAAAGCAAGCAATGTGGTGTGTGCGTGGTGTGCGCATCTTTATGCGTCTGTGTGTGCGCGCGTGCGCGTCTGTGTGTGCATGTGGTGTGTGCATATGTATTGCCACCCTCTGCTCATCTCACATGTGACTGCCACACTCTTCTCAGGAATGAATGTGCCCTTCTGCTGCAGTAGATCTTTGTGACTCCTTCAACTAAAACTATAGTAGAGAAAGAGACATGATGGTGTGTGACTGTAATCTCAGCCCTTAAGAAGTAAAAGCAGGGAAATCAGGAGTTCAGGGCTATCCTAAACTACATAGTAAGTTCAAGGCCAGTGTGGGCTACATGGGGCTTTCTCTTTTAAAAAAATGCACATGTAGGAAAGGCGCAAAGCTACACAGAGAAACCCTGTCTCCAAAAACCAAAAAAAAAAAAAAAAAAAAAAATGCACATGTGGCCGAGCGGTAGTGGCGCACGCCTTTAATCCCAGCACTCGGGAGGCAGAGCCAGGCGGATCTCTGTGAGTTCGAGGCCAGCCTGGGCTACCAAGTGAGTTCCAGGAAAAGGTGCAAAGCTACACAGAGAAACCCTGTCTCGAAAAAAAACATGCACATGTGATTTTGTTTTGTTTTTTGTTTTTTTTTTGTTTTTCAAGACAGGGTTTCTTTGTATAACTTTGGAGCCTGTCCTGGAACTCATTCTGTAGACTAGGCTGGCCTTGAACTCACAGAGATTCGCCTGCCTCTGCCTCCCTAGTGCTGGGATTAAAGGCATGCGCCACCACCGCCTGGCTGCTTTATTTGTTTTGGTTTTTTTTTGTGATTTTTAATGTTAATTGTCAACAGACAGAATCACCTGAGAGATGGACATTTGGTCTTCTCTGTGGGGAATTATCCTGATTGACATGGGAAGACTTCCCCTCCCCTAGTGTTTTAGTTTGGGTTTTTTTTTAGAAACTCTGTAACCCTGGCTGGCCTGGAACTCATCATATAGACCAGGCTGGACTAGAACTCACAGAAAGCCACTTGCCTATGCCTCCTTCTTGAGTGTAGGTATTAAAGGTGTGCACCATCATCCACAGCCTAGGCTAAAATTTACGTTAAATGTGGATAATACCAGTCCCTGAGCTGGGGATCCCACTTTAATTACTCCATATAACATTTTTTAAAGGATTTATTTATTTATTTATTTATTTGGAATTGGTTCTCTACTTCCATCTTGTTTTTGATGCAGGGTCTCACACAAGAGAAAATTAAGGGGCTAGAGAGATGGCTCAGCAGTTAAGAGCACATGTTGCTCTTGCAGAGGACCTGGGTTTAATTCCTTGCACCCATATGGCAGCTCACAACTACCTGTAACTACAGTTCCAAGAGACCTGACTCCCTCTTTTGACTTCTGAGGCATGCATGAGGCACATAGACATATGTGAAAACACATTTGCATGCATAAAATATGAGAAATAAAATGTTATGCTATGCATGTGGATGTAATCTTCCATATATGTCTGCATACTATGTGAATGAATGTCTGGTGTCCACAGAGGCCAGAAAGGAATATGCAGTTCTCTGGAACTGAAATTCCAGATGGTTGTGAATGGTGAGAGTCAACACAGAGTCCTCTGGAAGAGCAGCCGGGACTCTTAACTATGAGCCGTCTCTCCAGCCCAGCCTGGCTCTAGGTTAGATGAATCGCAACCTCACAAATGAACCAGTAACAACCCTCCAATGTCTTTGCAGACATTATTTACTGAGCTCTAGGGAAACTTAACATATTACAAGTACTAGGAAACTAAGCTTGCTTGCTAGCAGGCTAGCTATAAACGTATAGAAAGGTAATTTCCTTTGAGAATTCAAGCCTGAATTGGCCTAATTTCTCACACTTGTAACATAAGAAAGAGGAACTGAAACACTAATTTTCCATTAACTGTTTATCACTGTCTGGTGGTTTGAATGAGAATGGTCCCTACAGGCTCATAGGTTTGGATGACTGGTCCCCAGTTGGTGACACCATTTTGGAAAGATTAGGAGGTATGGAATTGTTGGAGGAGGTGTGTCACTGGGGACAACTTGGAGGTTTCAAAAGACTCAGGCCATTCCCAGTGTTTCTCTCTGCCTCATGACCGTGTCTCAAGATGTGAGCTCTCAGCTACTGCTCCAGCACCATCCCTGCCTGCCTGATGCCATGCTCCCCACCATGATGGTCATGGACTCACCCCAAACAAACTTTTTTTTTGGTAAGTTGCCTAGGTCAGCCAGGCATAGTGGCACACGCCTTTAATCCCAGCACTTGAGAACAAAGGCAGGCGGATCTCTGTGAGCTCAAGGCCAGCCTGGGCTACCAAGTGAGTTCCAGGACAGCCAGGGCTGTTATACAGAGAAACCCTGCCTTGGAAAACAAACAAACAAACAAAACAAAACAAAAAGTTGCCCAGGTCATAGTGTCTTATCACAGCAATAGGAAAGTAACTAAGATACACCATAACATAAAAATCAGTAAATAATTTTAGAAAATAATTCAGGAGCTGGGGGGATGGCCCAGTGGTTAGGAACACTCATTCTTCTAGAGGTCCTGAGTTTAGTTCCCAGCACCCATATCAGGAGGCTTCAGAGGATTCCACGCTTCTGGCTTCCACAGGCACCTGTACTCGGGATTCACAAGCACATACCCACCAGCAGACACATACACTGACACATAATTTTTTTTTTTTTCCGAGACAGGGTTTCTCTGTGTAGCTTTGCGCCTTTCCTGGAACTCGCTTTGGCGACCAGGCTGGCCTCGAACTCACAGAGATCTGCCTGCCTCTGCCTCCCGAGTGCTGGGATTAAAGGTGTGCGCCACCACCACCCAGCCACTGACACATAATTAAAAGTAATAAAAATAAATACTATAAAAAGAAAATAATTAAATTGTGAAATAGAAAAATTAGATCTTAGAAAGACAATACCATTTACAGGATACGAGGGATCCTCCTGTCTCAGTGCTGAATGGGATAACGGCACTTTCACTTTCTTGACCTGATTTTTAAAGCCATCATCCTCAGACGTCTTGAGCCCTGAGAACTTCCACTCAGTGTAGTGCACCTGCTTCAGAGCAAGGACAGTAGTGTTACGTGAGTGGCATAACATCTTACCTTTCTTTCTCAATGCTAGCCTTTCTGAACTTTAAAAATTCAGGCCCTTTTAAAGAAATGCTTAGCGTAGTGTCAGTGTTCTAAGCCTCAGTTACAGTGTGCATAGCATTAAAGTGCTGGGTTAAGTTACACTGACAGAAGGCAAACATCGGGGCTTTAGAAACGCATGTGGAAGCAGCTTGGAGGCCCTGTGGCCTTCCGGCCTTCCCTGCTCCTCCCCTCTGATGGCCGCATGTGCTCTGCTCTCCGGAGTCTCTGGGGGCTTACCTGCAGCGTGTTCCCATTCAAGATATTACGGCTCAGATATTCCATTCGGTTCTTGCCTTGGACATTTGTTCTTTTGCTGTGTTTTTTTCTTGAGTAGCATGCAATCTGACGTTCTTTTTCCCTCCTTTCTGCTGTTGGAGAGGATTTTCCCTTCACTTGATAATGACCATCCTCGGTGGGAATCTCTGTAGATGCCATCTGGTCCTGAGTAGATGAATCAGAGACAGACAGCCTTCAACGACAGCAGCTCAACAGCTGGTTTGCCTTCTCCCCTGCCCTTGCCCCTCGACACAGGAAAGCCTGATGATCTGCTCCATCAGGAGCTTCTAGATTATATGTGATTACACATGGTACTCATAGAAGGAATTTCCTTTACTCCAGCCCTGAGACTATTCTCTCCAATTGGCTTCGCAGCATGTGTAGAGAGGTCCGCTGTCCAGGGAGTTCTAAGAAGTCAGTTACCTGGGGAAGGTGAGGGGCCTGTTCTTCTGTGCTTGAGGCCTCCAAGTCGTCTTTGGTATCCTTCTCCTCTGTCTCATCTTCCGGTTCCAGGACCTCTGGGGGCAGGTAGTCAGACTCCCAGTCTAGGTGCACTTTGATAGATCCGTTGGACTTCTCCGAAGAGTCCGTGAGATTAAAATCACCTTAGAGACACAGAGAAACTGGTCACACCTGGTCTCATGAGACAGGCCAGTGATTATTTATGAGCATTATTTCTATTTCTTCCCACTTAAAAATTCATTGCATTTGTTAGTCATTTATTCACATACATTAAAATTCATAACATATACAAAATGAACACCAAACAACAGTGTAGCAAGAGTATCACAGGGGAAGACAGGCATGCCCCAGTTTCAGAAAGAGATGCTCAGAATGTGCATGGAGAGGAATGCAGTTTGCCTGTCATGGTGACTGTGATGGAATCATCTTCACTGTCCCTGAGTACTTATTATGCTGTGGCCGTCTCCAGAAAACTACCACCTATGCAAGTGGTACCAAGAAAAGAAGCAAAGTGGCTTTTTCCTGAATGATAGGCGCTTAGTAGGTGGCTTGCCTCTCCTCTCAGGCAGAGGTGTCCGATCTTGTTTTGTAAAGAACTATGATACTGGCCAGAGAGAGGCCTCACACACTCCCAAGGGCACTCAGAATCTTGTTAAATACGGTCGACACCGCTTATCCTGACTATACTGCCTAGTGAAAGTCTAGAAATCACTGCCTCAACTCTCTCCGGACAGAAGCCAGACTAAGCCTCTCCTAGGTGTACCCCCACAACCGCGAGTAAGCAAATAAGGAAGGTAGAACAGAGCTCAGCTCAGGACCACTGAAGTCTGCCTTTGCTGTCATCTCCCATGGTCACCTCTAATGTTTTAATAGCAATCAGATTACAAGGGAGTGTTGAGTTTTGCTTAGATCTCTCGTCATGAACTGGGAAACAAGTCTTTAAACAAAGGCAAGTACTAGGGAGCATAGAAGATTTTTTTGTTTGTTTTCCGGTGTTTTGTTTTGTTTTGTTTTGTTTTGTTTTGTGAGACAAGGTCTTACCACACAGCCCTGAGTGGCCTGGAACACACTATGTACCTCAGTCTGTGCTCTGCCTCCCAAGTCCTGGGATTCAAGGCAGAAGACACCATGTTTAGAATAAGGTTTTCAGAGACAGAGGTATGGGATGTGGGCTGCGGGTTGAAGCTCCTTGGAAATTTTGACTGTGCAGCTGCTCAGAGCTGAAGCTCATGTTCTCACAAACAAGGCAGGTACTCTTTGTTCTGTTGCTCTTGATAATATCCCAGAGTCCTTTCAGAGTTTAGGAGAGATTGTTCCAGGCCGACACGTCTCAGCAGGAAGAGGTGCTTACCACCCAAGTCTAAGGACTTCAATGCAATCTCCCGAACTCACAGAAAGATGGAAGGAGAGAACGGACTCCGCAAAGTGGCATGTTCCCTCACAGACTCACTGCACGCATGCACATGCATAATAAAAAGGATGTTTTTTAAATGGAAGAGTGACTATTCTAAGCAAGTAAGCAAAGAAAGTTGAGTAAGGGTCTGAAGAGATGGCTCAGAGGTTAAGAACACTGGCTGCTCTCCCAGAGGTCCTGAGTTCAATTCCCAGCACCCACATGGTGGCTCACAACCACCTGTAATGAGATGCACGCAGGCAGAACACTGTATACATACTAAATAAATCTTTAAAGGACAGGGAGGTGACACTGGGGAGAGCACCCAAAGGTGCAGCGCCCACCTTTGATAGATTTATTTTGTGCAAGAGGCAGCAGGGGCACGTGAGCTCGACCAAGATAGAAGCCAGGCTCCGAGTCTTCATCATCAAAAACATATATAGACAGGGCCTCCCGCCTCAGATACTGGTCCAGCTCAGAGGTCGCAAGCACTGGGAAAAGAGCCTGGTCTTTAAAGTATGGATTGTTGCTGGCTGGGATGATGGTGGTGCCGTGGTCAGGAAAGGTGAAGAAGCGATACATGACATACGGGCTGGGTTGAGTTCCCAGCCATCGACTCCGGAGGCCGCAGCACCTGGTGATCTCAATCCGCAGTTTGTTCCGAGGTGTCCACGTCTCGGATCTGGACTGGAAAGATGTTGATCTTGGACTCAGGGCAACCTGAGACGCTGTCATAGGGCAGCCCACGGAGGGGAGAAGGATCATGACCTAGAAACCTATTCTGCCAGGTCATGAGGAAAAGCCCGATGGCCATCGTCTGCCTGTCCCTGGCTCTGGTGGCTGCAGGGGCAAGCTCATCCTCAGGCTTACCCTACTGAATGACAGAGAGAATGAAGCTAGCTTTGATCCCAGTTCCCCCATGGTAGGAGAAGAGAAAGGACTCCTACATGTTGTCCTATGACCTCACCAAGCTCGTTAAGATGGACACAGCCGGAGGGAACTGCCAGGCCAGACGCCCAGTAACAGTGTGACGAGTGCGACTTGACTTTGAGAGAAGCGTGGAGTGGGAGCTCTGGGGGTTGGAACTGATTCTGAGTTTCCCTTGTTGGGGAATTGCGACAAACCTGCCCGACTCCAGTACCTGAAGGCGTAGCCCTCCACAGACCGCCTCATATCAGTGCCAATCACTGATTGTGATAAAAATTACAATTACAAAAAGAGAATGATAGAGAAAAGCTGATGTGTTCACAACAACGAGAAGTATCTAGCCCTGGGCATGAATTCATTTCTGCTCAAGTTTAACCACGGGAAGAATCTGGACTGGCCTTCATGTAGCAGTTTTTCACATTCTCGAATACTCATAGGGGATGGGAAAGCAAGTCCTTTTTGGGGGCCACCTGGCTGATGACATGAGACACATGAGTACATCTTTTTTCTCACCTCATCATCCTTCAGGGCCTTCCAAGCTCCAAGCACATTGACTGACAGGTAGGCCTGGGCTTTCTTTCGCTTATTGCTTGCCTGGAAGCTGGATTTTAGGGGCAAGCACAGTCTCATCCAGTACTCTAACACCCCCAAGTCTTCTCCACCAGCTCCTGAATAGCAAAAAGCATGAACGGCATGGAGAATAGAGTGTCGTGAAAGTCAAGAATAGAACAGAAGCCAGGCTGGTGAAATGCCTGACATCCCAGCACTCCAGAGGCTGAAGCAGGAGGATTGCCATGAGTCCAGGGCCAGGCTGGGGGCAGAGGATGGAAAAGGGGAACTACCAGGGAGCAGCTCCAGGATTTGGCAATTTCTTTGTTTTCCCGAAGCCTCTAGTCCTAAGCACTACAAGAAGCCAAAAGCACTTACCAGTAAGTGTGGCCAAGCCATGGACTTTCTCCACGGTCTCTAGCACCTTGTCAAATGAAATCCATCCAGTTGCAAGGATATGATGCTCACTAGTCACGGCCTGATGGAGATCAAGCCGGACTGAAGTTCCTTGAAGGTAGTGCAAGAAAAGGGAATCTGTCTGCACCACAAACTGGGAGGTGAAATCATAGAGGGGCTGTGGCCCAGTGGAGAGGGGGGTGCAGTGGGTTTCGAAATCATAGAAGGAGTAAGTGCAGAAAGTCGTAGGCTGTGTGTCCCCAGCCTGCACAAGAGCAGCAGGGGTCAGGAAGGCCTGGTGGATGTGCACTTCCAAAAGATTCTCATTTCGATGCAGCAGAGAAAGGTCCACTCCGTCCTCGCCTCTGTGGGCTGGCCGTGGCTCCAGACACATGGACGGCTGCCGAGTGCCATAAGCAACGTCCTTGAGCTGCTCTACAGGGGAAAGAAGGCTGCCTATGCGTTAAAAGGTAGAGAGCTCGTCCTCGGGGTATGGAGGGGAAACGGGAGGAAACTAAGTCGTGCAAGTCCAAGCCGAGATCATTTCAAGAGACCGTATGATTCAAGGAGGAAAGGAACACAGTGACAACCAGAAGCTTCGAATTCTAAAGGCCAAATGACCACTGCCTGCCTCATGGGAAAGGCAAAGTGAGGGCCTGAGAAGTGACCACTGCAAGCCATTTTCACAAATGACATCGACTCACATCACGGTCCTATGGATGTGCAGGCTACTCTAAAAGAGAAGCATCGGAAACATAAACCGTGTTTCCGAAAGATTGCTGTGTCAGCCTTGGAGAGAGTAAGAAGTGACAGACAGCGTTTTTCACAGCATCCTTGGCCACCTGGAAAGCCTGCCTAGGTAGAGCCAGCCAGCTCAGTTAGAAGAGGGCACCTTGTTCTCTGGTCAGACGTTGATTTCATTACAAGAGATCAAGAAATCCACTTTGAATCAAAGGGTGATGAGTTCAAATGTAAGAAAGGAAACTTACAGGAAAGAGGTTCAAAATGCTGCCCATGGGATACAAGACTTGGAGACAGACCTGAATCCACATATCGTTGTCAAGGCCAGTCAGTCAGAAACCTTTTCAGATGTAGGCTACTTCACACTGGGAACATCTGAATCCCTACAGTGTGAATACCTTACTTGAAGAGTTAAATCTAGCCTGGTGGCGGTGGCATTCGCCTTTAATCCCAGCACTTGGAGGCAGAGGCAGGCAGATCTCTGAGTTCAAGGCCAGCCTGGTCTACAGAATGAGTTCCAGGACAGCTAAGGCTACACAGAGAAATCCTATCTCAGAACAAAAAAAAAAAAAAAACAAAGAAAAAAGAAAAAAAAAGAAAAAGAAAATTAAATCTGTAGAATAAAAATGTTCTGGGCATATCAGAATGTTGATTTATTTATTACTGATTCATTTGTTTATTCATTTGTTTGTTTGCTGCTCTTCCAGAGTACCTGAGTTCAGGCTTCCACGTCAGGTGGCTCACAACTGCCTGTAACTCCAGCTCCAGGGCATCCAACATTCTCTTCTGGCCTCTGTGGGCACCGGCACACATGTGCATATATTTCCACACAGACATACAAGCATATATGTAAGTAAAACTTAAAACTAAAGTTTTTAAAAAGTTTTACTAAAAGTAAAACTAAAAATAAAAAACTTAAAATGTTTAACACAATGGGATGTGGTGGTGGCTGGAGAGACGGACCAGGGGATAAGAACACTGGTTGCTCTTCCTAAGGAACTGAGTCTGGTTCCCAGTACCTGCAAGGCAGCCAGTTCATAACTGTCTGAAACTCCAGTTCTATTGGACTCACACCCTCTTCTTCAGATCTTTGCAGGCACAAACATGGTACACAGACATACATGCAGGCAAAACACCTATATAAATAACAAATGTTTAAGATTTTTTTTTTTTTTGCTTTTTATGCCCTGCCAGCATATATGTATATGTACCACATGTGCCCATAAGGACAGAGGAGGTTGCTGGATCCTCTGGAACTGGAGTTACAGATAGTTGCTGGCATCCATGTGAGTTCTGGGAACTGAAGCCAGGTCCTCTGCAAGAGAAACAACTGCTCTTAACTGCTGAGCCATCTCTAAGCCCCCCAACAATGTCTTCATGTTTAAAGGTGGGCAGGGGTGAGGCGGTCAAGATGGCACAGGAGGTAAGTGTGCTTACTGCCAAGCCCAAGGACCTGAGTTCGATTCTGTAGAGCCTGCATGATGGAAAGAGAGAACCAGTTCCTGCAGGTCGTCCTCTAAGCCCCATAAGTGTGCCACGTCACATACACAAACACAGACACACACACACACAGACACACACACACACACAGACACACACACACACACACACACACACACACACACACACACACACACACGAGGAGAGAGAGAAAGTAAATAAATGCCTTTAAAAAGAAAAATAAATGTGGTGGTGAATGCCTGTACTCTCAGTATTCAGGAAACAGGCAGGAGGATTGCAAGTTTGAGACCGGCCTAGATTACATAGCAAAAGTCTCAGGATCAGTGGCACACACCTTTAATCCCAGCACTCATGCAGGAGGCAGGTGGATCTCTGTGAGTGTGAGGCCAACCTGGTCTACAGAGAGAATTCTGGGACAGCCAGGGCTACACAGAGAAACGCTGTCTCGAAAAAAATCAAAAAGAGAAAAAAAGAAAGAAAAAAAATACAAAAAGATGTAATACAGAAATTGACTAAATTAGCTGGGCAGTGGTGGTGCATGCCTTTAATCCCAGCACTCAGGAGGCAGAGCCAGGCGGATCTCTGTGAGTTTGAGGACAGCCTGGTCTACAGAGCAAGTTCTAGGGCAGGTTCCAAAGCTACACAAACCTTGTCTCAAAAAGTCAAAAGATAGATAGATAGATAGATAGATAGATAGATAGATAGATAGATAGATAGATAGATAGATATTTGATATAACTAAATATAATATGTTTAAACTGACATTACACAACGCAAAGCTAATAGCCTTAACATACAAAGGAAGTAAGTACAAATCGGCTGGACGGTGGTGGCTCATGCCTTTAATTCCAGCACTCGGGAGGCAGGTGGATCTTTGTGAGTTCAAGATCAGCCTGGTCTACAGAGTGAGTTCCAGGATAGCTAGAGCTACACAGAGAAACCCTATCTCAGGAGAGAGAGAGAGAGAGAGAGAGAGAGAGAGAGAGAGAGAGAGAGAGAGAGAGAGAGAGAGAGAGAGAAAGGAAGGAAGAAAGGAAGAAGGAAATTAAACAACTAAGTGGTATACATGGAAAAACTATTCTGCCTTGGCAGGGGTCAATTAAGTGAAAGTGGACAGCCTTCAGACGGAGGTAAGGGTGTTTACCATGAGATAGACCTTGAGTCTGAGCCAGGACTCAATCCAAGGGAGGCCTGCCTTTTTATTTGGCAGCAGCCTCACCAAAGTCACCCTGGTGTTGTAAGCCCCACCCACCTCCCGGTCCTGGAGTTCTATGCTCAGGAGAGAACCTGCTTGTGACTGACTCTCTTGCCCGGAGAATCCACTCCACAGTGGCTCCTTGTAAGCGACTTCTGTTCTGCTTTAAATATCCGACTGTGGTGAGCTGGGTGTGGGTTAAGTCATCTCTCCCCACACTGAGCTATTACAACGCCTGCTTCTGGACACTCAGGGGCGAGACCAGTCCCTGTTCCAAAGTGACTGACTATACTACGTAGGAAGAACCTGAATAGGAAATGCATTGGGTGACACCTCTCTACCTCTGCTAACATCCTTAAATCACAACAGAGATTTTTAGAGAGAAAGAAAGACAGGAAAGGAGTGACAGAGATCTGCCACCCGGCGAGAACCATCTTAGAAGCTGACAGGACTGAGTTGAAGAAGTGGCAGAGAGGGAAGAAGGGAGTCACCCTTAGTGACACTCTCCCAACCTGCCCGGAAGCACCACTGGCCCTGTGGAAATTCTCCAGAAAAAAATCAGAGACTCACACTGACCAGATGAAGAAAAGGAAGTCACAAGCCATGTATCAAAACCACCGAGACGAGAGGAAGAAAGCAGGAGAGAGAGTCAGGCGGGTCACTGTTAGTCATGTGACATCACCCAAGATGAAAACAAAGTGCTAAGACTTGCCAGATGTTGGAAGGCCGTGGCTTCTTAAAATACCTTCCAGCTGCTTTATGCGGCTGTTCTTGAGGTCTAGGAGGTGATTCAGCATCTCCAGTTTCTCTTGGTGGTCCCTGCTTTCGTTATCAGCCTTTGTCATCATTGCCTCCAGCTCGTCCTGCAACAAAATTAAAGCTGAACCTTTCCTTTCAGCGGCACCGAACCGAAGAGCCCTGGCTTTAAAACTGGACCTTGCTGGGTGGGGAGGAGACCGCCACCTCCTCAGCAGGGTGAGTGTGACCCAGGAAGAAAGCTAAGGTTTTCCTGAGAACCTTCACGCCCAGTTACACTTGCGGCACCCAAAGGTGATTGTTTCCCTAGGACTTTGGGGAGAAATGAACCCAGAACCTTAGCACTTGCCATTTCATGAGCTGCCCCTTAGCTGACCTCTAAGGCCAGGGTGCCTGGGCATGTGTGGGCGAGCCCTCAGGTTCTTCCACCTAGGCCTTGCCTGTTTCCCGGTGTGTGGGGGTGGCTCCCATATGCCCAGCCTCCTGTTCCTTTCCTAAGCCACCTTTCCTTGCACCTGATAACACACGTTGATTTTGCGCTGCAGAAGGAGCATGTCTCTGGTCTTTTCTAGTTCCAGTGTGGTCTCTGCATGCGACACTTGCAACTCGCTTAGCATCTGGGACAGGTTGTTCTCAGCCTGAGCGTCTGGGTCATTGGACTACAGAGCGAAAACAAGAATAAACATGACGGGTATGGGTGGCGACCGGCGCTCTAAAGCAGCTGTTGAGAGCTGTTAAAAGGCCGGCAGCAAATTTCCTCCAGAAGGAACGTACAAGGGCTCTCTCCTCCCCACCCGGGGCCTCAGTCAGTGTGTTAGTGAGTCATAGGGCAGTTTGGAGGCTGGTGAGCCAGCTCCGGGGGATAAAGCACTCGCTGTGCAAGTCTGATGACTTGAAAGTGGAAGGGGAGAAGCAGCTCCACAAGGCTGTCCCCCTGACCTCCACACACACCGTGGCACATGTGCTCACACAAACTTGTCCGACGCACACATGGAGCTATAATGAAGGAAACCAACATGGCAGTTTGCTCTTCGGTAGATCATTTCAAGTTCGAGTATAAAGAGTCTAGGGACAGGAGACACGGCTCAGTGGTTAAGAGCACTGCCTGCTTTTTTGCAGAGGACCCGGGTTCAACTCCCAGAACCCACATGGCAGCTCACAACTGTCTGAAACTCCAGTTTCAGGGATTCAATGTCCTCTTCTGACCTCCGCAGGCACCACACACGTGTGGTACACATGCATACATGCAAGCAAAGTACTCTTATGCATAAAGTAGAAATAAATCTTTAAAAACTAAACAAAAGGACTGGATAGATGCTCAGTGATTAAGAGCACTTACTGCTCCTGCAGCGGGCCAGGGTTTGGTTCCCAGGACCTACCTGGTAGTTCACAATCATCCATAACACTCCAGTTCTGGGGAATCTAACGCCTTCTTCCGACCACCCTGGGCCCCGGTACACACATGGTGCACAGACACACACGCAAACACAATACCCACATACTAAATAAAATAAATAAATCTTGTTTGAAATGCTAACGAACCATAATGGAGCATCTACCTCTTCTGAGCTGTAAGGCATAGGGGTACTGGGTGGGGCTCACAAAACTCTACCTCCTGTCAGCCTCCTCAGAGTCCTGTCCCTTTAGTTTTTCCCTGCCCGGAACCTTCCCGGGGAGTCACTTGTTTACCTCTCTCTCATCTATGTGTTGGGACAGAGTGGGCAGAGTAGCCAGTCCAGACAGCTCTTCTGGAGACGGAGACCGGGGCATGGTGGTTATTGACTCTGCTTCCTGTTCATCCTGGTAACAGATGTTGGTGATTTCAAGCTTCAGCTCTTCACCTTGAGCTGCTGACAACAGGAATCCAGAGACATGAAATCAGTTACTGACAAACCATGGAGTTGAATCGAGTGTGACATGGTGAAATCATGCTCTGCTCCAAGGCTTCATTTCAGACAGAAAAGCAATTCCCTCTTGCTGACACAAAAGGACCTCGAGCCTACGGACTCCGTTCTCTTGAGGTGGCACTTGTACTTCTAAGGTAAAATCAAGAAGGTAGACGACACCCAAGGAATTGTGGGATGGAGAGGGAAACGAGAACACCACGACAGTCACTCGACTGCCTGGGACAGGCCAACTGTACTTTTGGGAAGGGCTAGGGAGCTGGGGGAGGGGCAGGTAATGCACATGATGAAGACCAGGGTCTTATGCATTCAAAGGCACTCTACCAACTGAGCTACATTCCCCCACTAAACATTACTTTTTTGATAGCACAATCCAAGCCAGTCTCTCACCAACTTCATTCCACTGTGACTTCTGGCCATTTGCTCTCTGTATCCCCATCTCCATACCCACCCTGACTGGAGGGAGGTTGGGAGTTATGTGTATGTCTCAGGAAAGGGAGGCCACTGACGTTCAGAGTGCAGAGCACTCAGGGAACATCAGAGAAGTCACATGAGAATTCCTCAGACCTTATAAGACTCAGTTTGTACTTTATGCATACTGCCAGGTGCTTGGCGTTATGTTCCAAAGCTTTCTTATTTTACGGCTTCTGCATGAAGGCTCTTTTTTTTCTTTTTTCTTTTTTGCTCTGTTTGTTTGAGACAGGGTTCCTCTGTGTAGCCCTGGCTGTCCTAGAACTCATTCTGTAAACCAGGCTGGCCTCGAACTCAGAGATCCAAAAGGTGTGCACCATCCCTACCCGACATGAAGGCTCCTTCTTGTCCCTTTGTTTTGTCTGAGACAGACAGAGTCTCCCTATGTAGCCCAGGCTAGCTTCAACTCTCGATCCTCCTGCTATGTCCTGGAAGGCAAAGGTGGGGCCCCTTTTGTCCTTGTGTTGTGTTTCTTTGCCTGTACTTTCTCATTTGAATATACTAGGATCTAAAGAAAAATTGGAAAAATTATCCAGCAGGAACTGAGACCATATGAAGAGGACAGTCTTCCTGACATTGTTTAAAAGCTTTTTAAACAACTATCTCCTAGCTGAGCAGTGGTGGCACACACCTTTAATCCTAGCACTCAGGAGGCAGAGGCAGGAGGATCTCTGTGAGTTCGAGGCCAGCCTGGTCTACAGAGCGAGATCCAGGGCAGGCACCAAAACTACATAGAGAAACCCTGTCTCGAAAAACAAAAAAACAAAACAAAACAAAAAAAAACTATCTCCTGTGACACAAGAGTGAAGACCAGCTAGGCTGGGCGTGGTGGTATATGTATGCCTATAATCCATATGGAATTCGGGGGCAAAAAGACTGAGAGTTCCAGGCCAGATTGAGCCACAGTGACATTTTGTCTCAAAAAAAAGGTGAGTGGTTAGTGGCAGGAGCGGGTGACAGAGCCTGTGGCAGATCACTGGCCTAACGTGTGTGAGGCCCTCCGTTACATCCCCAGCACCAAACCAATCGGGAAAAGAGACAGGAACTAAAATGGTAGTAGAAACCCAGAAATCTATCAAGAGTATAATTCGATCCTCAATTTTAGACATCAAAACAAAATAAAAAACAATGAGTGATTTTTTCCCACTCATCTCAGAAATGACCAAATTCAAAACAAACAAGCAAAAACCAGAGAAATGTGCTCTCGCTCTCTCTCTCTCTCTCTCTCTCTCTCTCTCTCTCTCTCTCTCTCTCTCTCTCTCTCCTTTTGGTATTTTGAGACAGGGTCTCACTAAGTAGCCCTGGCTGTCCTGGAACTCACAGAGATCTGCCTGCCTCTGCTTCTTGAGTGTTGGGATTAAAGGCATGTGTCATCACCATACTGGGTGAGAAATTTGTTTTTAGCACGATCAATAAAGTAAATGTTTAAAAACAATAAAGTTAGAAGTTGACATCATTCCAAATGGGAAGAGATGTGTGTAGTTATCATGTCTTCCTGGCTAAAGAAGACCTCATTGCCCACGTTTTAATTCTAGTTACTGATGACCCACAAAATACAGGGTCATGTGGGGACAGGAGATGTAAAGGCCCAAGTTCCCATCTCCCAAGCCGGACGCAGAGGGCACTGCCCTTGAGAAAGCTCTTTCAGGCCTGACTCACCTTTCACGTTGGTTGCCTGGAGGAAGATTTTTGTTCCCTCCAGCCCGGCAGCGCCCAGTGAACAGGCTTGCTGTGGTAGCGGCTCCCTGGCGAGCTCACTGCTCCAGTGAGGCGGCTGACTGCTATCCAGCATGCTGAAAAGTGGAGGCACGGTGTCAGGTGATCCCTCAAAGGGGTATGCCAAGGCGTCTTTGTTACACAGTTTCAGCATCTCTGGGACCTAGTTGATCATTCCTTTCTCCACATGGTTTTCCTGCCCCGGCTTTATTTGTAACTGTCATTTGCCAACTGCTTTGGAACTTTTGGGTGGCATTGAGGAGTTGCTCAGTGTCTCTTCTACTTAAGTCTCCAGGGTTCCACTATGCTGGCGCCCCAATCATTCAGCTCTCAAGGAACTTCTCCAACATGATGGCTTTCTTTAGGCACCCCATGTGTTACTAAGGCATGCTGAGGCTTCCTGAGTTAGAACTGAGAAACAGGAGCTTTCTTTTCTCACCTCGTCCCCTTGTCTGCCTTTGCCACTGGCTGCTTTAGAGAGCATGTGCCTTTAAATGAGACTACCTTTTTAAATGACTTACTGTACTCAAGGACAAACACAAGCTTTTCAACACCTGTCCCTCTACCCTACGGCGTGTCGCTGTTAGGCTTGCCTTGAGTGGAAAACACCTATTTGTAACTTATACATTACCTGACATTAAAAACAAAAAACAAAAACCATGTTCCAGCAAGCGTGGCACACACCTTTAATCCCAGCACTTGGGGGAGAGGGGGATAGGGGCAGGTAGATCTCTGAGTTTAAGGTCAGCCTGGTCTACAGAGTGAGTTAGTTCCAAGACAGAGGAAACAGTCTCAAAAAAGCAAAAAAAAAAAAAAAAAAAAAAAGTTTCTGAATAAATGTCACATAAAGACAATTTACTTGGGTGGTGGTAATACATGCCTTTAATCCCAGCACCCTGTGCCCCCCCCCCAAAAAAAGTTTCTTGCCTAGCATACACAAGGTTCTGCATTCAGTCCTAAGCACTACACAGACCAAGTATGGTGGCATGCACCTGTAATCCCAGCATTCTGGAGGTGGAGGCAGGAAGAGCAGAAGTCCAAGGTCATACTTGGCTACACAGTAAGTGCAAAGCTGTGTTATATATCACCTGAAGACTCAAGAAGATAATAAATATTCTGAGTGATAAAGAGACCGGCAGCAGCTAATGCCACAGGAGAGCTTCACCATCACCTGACCCAGGTGCCACCGTGAGACCTCTCCTCCAGCCCCAATTGGTGGAAACTTTTGATTCTCCTGCCTCAGTCTCCTAAATCCTGGGATTACAGGTGCAGGACCACACACCCAGCTCCCTTTGTTGTCTTTAACCACGATAAAAGGCACTTTGATTTTTTAAAAAATTTTCTCTGCACTTTTTTTTAATGGTACTGGGGATTGCACCCTGGACCTCCCATGTGAGAAAATGCTCTACCACTAACGTCTCCAGCCCTCATTTTACTTTTATTTTGAGACAGAGTCCCACTGAGTTACCTAGGCTGTCTTCAAACTCATTCTGTAGCCCAGATAGGCTTTAAACTTATGATCTACTTGGCTCAGCTCCTGGAATAGCTGGAATTACAGGCCTGTGCCATGGAGCACAGCTAGGTCCTTTTAATTACAAAATTAATACGTGAGTATATGTTTATAGTGTAAAAATTAAAATGAAAAGCTGGAGAGATGACTCAATGGATAAGAACACTAGTTGCTCTTCCAGGGAACCTAGGTTCAGTTCCCAGTACCCACGTGATGGTTCATAACCATCTGTAACTCCAGTTCCAAGGGATCCAACACCCTCTTCTAGTCTCGAGAGGCAGACACCAGGCACATTTGTGGTGTATAGGCAACACACCCAGACACATAAAGTAAAAATAAGTTAAAAAAAATTTTTTTTTTTCAAGACAGGGTTTCTCTGTACATCCCTGGCTATCCTGAAAATCACTCTATAGACCAGACTAGCCTCTAACTTACAGAGATTGGCCTGCCTTTGCCTGTTGAATGCTGGGATTAAAGGCATGTGTCCCTACCACCCGGCAATTAAAAAAAAAAAATTAAAGAAAAGTGATAAAAAGACCTAAAGTGAAAGTGAAGGTGCCCTTTCACATCCATAGTCTCTGCATACCAAAAGGCACAAGCCAGGGTAGGGTTAGCGCGCCTGTCTACACCTTGCCTTTCCTTTGAACATTATTGTTATCTCGTTTTTGTTTTGTTCTTTGAGACAGACCTTCTCTATATACCCTTGGCTGTCCTGGAACAAATTCTGTAGACCAGGCTGGCCTGGCGGCCTCCATCTCTGCCTGCCTTTGCTCTGGAATGCTGGGATTAAAGGTGTGTAACACCATGCCTGTTCAGTCTGTTTAAGATTTGTAAAGTCCCATAATTCTCTTGTAGAAAACAGTGCTCTGGGACCATACTTTGTACTTACTTTTCCAAGAGTCTGTCATAACTGTCACTCAGCAATTTTCGTTCATTTTCCAAATCTTCAACTCTGACCTGAAACTAGTAACGACAGAATCCTTGAGACCATGCTGGTTTTGCTTTTCATTGCAGACCAGAGTTTGGGCATGGGCTCTTCTATACTGGTTCTACAAGGTGTCGTTTGAAAGACTGGCCTGGCAGTGGCACACACCTTAAATCTACTGCACAGAGGCAGTAGAATCTCTGAGTTCCCTGCCAGCCTAGTCTACAAGTAAGCATTGGGACCTCCAGGGCCACACAGTAAAAACCTTGTCTCAAAAAACAAAAACCAACAAAAGATTGGAGCCAGTTGAAAGGAGGCTGGGAATTTTCACTGGAATTAGTGAAAACTCTTTGAGCCAGTTTTCCTTACATCTGTGTTCCTACCATCAGAGAGATGACAAAGCATTGCAAAAGATAAAAATGTCAGTGAGATGGCTCAGCAGATAAGAGCGATTGCCACCAAGCCTGGTGACTTGAGTCTGATCTTTGGAACCCACAGGGTAGAAAGAGAAAACTAACTCAAAAGATGTCCTATGACCTCCGCACTTAAGCGTTGGTCTATGTACCTACACAATAAATAAACGTAAGGAAAAAAGACACAGCCAATCCTGGTGGTACCCAAGATTAACCTTGGCACTCAGGAGGCAGAGGCAGGAAGATCTCTGTGAGTTCGAGGCCAGCTGGTCTACAGAGTGCATTTCAGACTAGGCAGAGGTACACAGTGAGACCCTGACTCAAAAAACAGCAAAAGAAAAAGAAAAAAAGACTCTAGAAAATGGACCAGTATAAATTCTCAAATGTTGCAATCATCTAAACTATGTGGTTTAATCACTTTGGAGGCTCACTGTTCTCATATGAAAAAATTAAGTGGCAAGGCTAGAGAGACAGGTTAGCAGCTAAGAACACTGGCTGCTCTTCCCAAGGACCTGGGTTTGATTCCCAGCACCCACATGATGGCTCACAAACATCTGTAACTCCATTTTCAGGGGATCTAATGCCTTCTTCTGACTCCAGCAAATACTAGACACTCACGTGGTGCATAGGCACACAGTCAAGCAAAGCACCGACAGACGTAAAACAGATGCTTTTCGTGGAAGAGCCATATTGTTGCTATGATGCTCATTTTCAACATCTTGAAGTTAGAATGCAGCAGTTTTTAATTAAAAAAAAAATGCCTTCCTCAGGGCCTCAGACTTGGTCCAGCACACACATTTGTTTTTGTTTTTTTGAAATTACTCAGCAGTTTATTCATAAGACATTGACAATCTGATGAATAGAAAACATTTTTTTAGTTACTAAAGTAGAGAAATTCAGTTGTCGGGAGGCCTGTTAAGGAAGGCAGGGCACACATTCATAGCAGTATTGAGGGCTTGATGGACGTTTAAGCTGTTTCTGGCCTTTTACAAATAGAAAGGACACTGCAAACAGCCTTGTCCATACACCTTTGTCCCACTGTCAGAGCAGTGCTGTAAGATACAACCCTAAGAAGGAAGCTGCAGAATTAATTAAAGGGGGTGTGCATTCAAAATATTCATGAAGACAACTAAATTTTTCCAAAGAAGTTCTATAGTAAATGAGAACACACACAAGGAACTGTGAATATTTATATAAGTAAATCTGATAGAGGAAAATGGTCTCTAGTCACTGACCAACTTTGTATTTTGTTGCTGATGAGTGAAGTTTATCCTTTTTTTAAATTTCCATCCGTCCTGAAATTATACCTTTTATATTATCTTAGAGCTCTTGCAGGGCAAACTTAAAATTACAAAAAAATCTGGTATAAAACACTTAATCCTTATAAATGTATTATAACTTAACCTAATATGGATCCACTGATTATACTCATGAGAGAACTTCTACGATTCAATTCAGCTGGAGGTTGAAGTCCTTTATCCCAATTTGCAGGCAGCACACACATTTGTTTGTTTGTTTATCATGTAGCCCAAGCTGGTCTCAAACTTACTGTACATCAAAAGAAGACCTTGAACATCTCACCATCTCGTTTCCATTTTGCTAGGATGACAGATGTGTGCCAACACATGTTTTGCTGAGTCAGTTTTCACCAGGACAGACTGAATTCTGAGATCCCCCTGCCTCTACCTCTCAAGTGCCCAGCATCGCACCTGCTTCAGGCAATGTTAAGGAACAAATCCAGGGCTTTGAATGTGCTAGGCAAGTACTCTCTAACTGAGCTGCTCCCGACCCTGGAATATAGCACATTTGATGACATCTCTTCACTACTATTATTTACCTCCTTCAGAGTTATCTGCAAGATAGACACATCTTCCAGTTGGGTCTTCAAGCTCATGGCCTTCTTGCTCTCCTCTGATAGCTCAGCCTTGAGCTCATTCACTTGGCTGAGGAAGGCATTGTGGGTTGCATTCAGTATTCCTTGATTCTGCAGACAAGGGGAATCCCTCTAGGAACGATCCCATGACTCAACAGGAATGGTCTCCAGACAGCAGCAACTCAAAGAATGACCATGTGGTAGTTTGGATAAGAATGGCCCCCACAAGCTGGGAAGTGGTGGCACACACCTTTAATCCCAGTACTTGGGAGGCAGAGGCATGAGTTCGAGGCCAGTCTGGGCTACAAAGTGAGTTCCAGGACAGCCAGGGCTGTTACACAAAGAAACCCAACCCTGTCTCAAAAAAAAAAAAAATTACCTTTTTTTTTGAAGACACACACCTTTAATCCCAACACTCAGAAGGCAGAGGCAAAGGGATCTCTGGAATTTGAGGCCAGTCTGGTCTACATAGTGAGTTTCAGGATATCCAGGGCTATATAGAAAGATTCTTGTTGAAGAATATTTGTTTATACTGTGAAGATGTATCTTTGCCAAAGCACCTTCTGATTGGTTTAATAAAGAGCTGAATGACCAATAGCAAAGCAGGAAGAGGTTAAGTGGGACTTCCAGGGACAGAGAGGACTCTGGGAAGAAGAAAGACAGAGTCACTATACAGACATGGACTATCAAAAAAAAAAAAAAATTCAAGACACGGAATAAAATCCGTCTCTTGTCTCCCAGAGCTCCCTGACATTAGGGCTAAAACTGGAGTATCTGGAGAGCAAGACTCCTGACCCCACAGGCAGAAGTTTCAGCTGTGGCGTTTAAGATGTACCATGGGAGAGATGAGAAAGCCCATGAACAGAATTGCCAAATGCTGGCACACGCTATCTGAGTAGCTGCATAAGGGCTTCCAGGTCCCTGTTTTAGAAGGCCAGGCAGGCTAGTGCGTGCCCTGCCAGGCCATCAATTGAGCCTTGTTCAAAGTGCCACCTAGAGAGATAACTGATCAGCTGACTGTCCCCATGCACACATTGGCATGGGGACATCAAACTAAGACCTCCTAGGCTTGGCCACAGGCTCACAAGGAACCCCGGACGCAGCAGTGGTGATCTGTTTCCTTCCTGTTGGACACTAAGCCACTTAATCAGTCCTGAGGGAGTTTGGGGTTCCACCTCTCCTCGTTTCCCCATTGTCGGGTTAGGGAGGACAGCCTTACCCACCTCACCAGATTTAATTGTGCTTTCAGGGTTACTTAATGGGAAAAGACTTTCCAACTAAGGTAGGCACTTTCATTTCATTGCTCCCTCCATGTGCCTCACTCCAGACTTGTCAGAAGCGCTTCTCCTCCTCATGCACAGGGACACAGACAGGGCCCTGCTCTCCGCCTTGTCCCTAATTCCAGAAGAATGAAGTCTCACCCCACAAGCTTTTCTCTTCCTGGTCCCCTCTTCTAATTAACTACTCAGCTAATTGTTACAGGATCGCCATAGATACCCAGGTGGTAACAGTTAAAAGGTATTTACACCCCCAGACCCAAAAGTGTCTGGGCTCTGCAAAAACAGACTTTAATATAAACATCTATTACTGTTAAATGCTCTCAACAATTGATCACCGGTGTCTCTTGGATGCTAAACTAATAAAGGAAACAGCTGCCTTAAAATAATCTATCTCTGATAAAGCTTATCTCAGGTAAAAATTAAAAATATGTTCCAATCTTTCTCCTCTGCTCTCCTCTCTCTCTCTCTCTCTCTCTCTCTCTCTCTCTCTCTCTCTCTCTCTCTCTCTCTCCTCTCTGCACGTGCTTCTTCCCCAGGCCTGGTTCTTTTGTCCATTCCCCCTCCTCCTAATAAAGCTCTAATATTGGGTTTTGTTGTGGCTTGTGCCTTATGACCTTTCTGCACAGTAACCAGCATCACTTAATATTTTTAAAACAACAGGAAGCAAGATGGACAGTATGGAGATGAGGTAACAAGCCTCCTGGAAAAATGTAGATTAAAAAAATATAGGTTAATTTAAGTTATAAGAAGTAGTTAGGCAGGCAGTGGTGGCACACACATTTAATCCTAGCACTCGGGAGGCAGAGGCAGGCAGATCTCTGTGAATTTGAGGGCCCCCTGGTCTACAGAGCTAGTTCCAGAACAACTAGGGCTGTTACACAGAGAAACCCTGTCTCAAAAAACCGAGAGAGAGAGAGAGAGAGAGAGAGAGAGAGAGAGAGAGAGAGAGAGAGAGAGAAGTAGTTAGAAACAAACCTAAGCTAAGACTAAGCTTTCAGGATTAATAATGTCTTGGCGTCATTATTTGCAAGCCAACAGCCCAAAGAAAAATCCAACTACATTTGACACCCAATGTGGGGCACATACACAGAGCCCATTGCTCACAGCACACAGAGGCAAGGTTTGTTTAAGAGGATGGTCTCATTTAAGAGGCCCTGCTAGGAGCAGCTGATGCACTACTCTGCAGCAGGAGACTAGGTACAAACATCTGCCACAGCAGCTTCCCAGAGCTGGGACAGTTAGGTGCAGCAGGGATGGTCAGTTAGGAGGACCCAAAGGGGGTGGAGCCAGATGCCAGTGCCACAAGCCAAAGTCACAGAGGGCCTAGCCAAACAGTTTAAGATTTCTCTCATGTGGTTAGAGAATGCTGCAGATTTGCAGTAGAGTCAGGTCCAGACCAAGAAGATCTCTAAACAGATATAGTATGCTTAAAAATGTGCTTAGATGCTGAAGAAAAGAAAATGGGTACATACAGTCATAGAAAAATAAATAAATAGTTTAAAAATAATAAATTAGCTGAGCTTTCATAATTAAGAAGAAGTCCCCAGGTCGTTATTTGTGGGCTGGGGGTCCTAACGAAAAAGTACTACTGTAAATCCTGTCTTAAAAAACAGCAAAAAAAATTACCTTCTGGAGCAAGTCTTCATATGCCTGGAAGAAACAATTAAGGATTATTTTCACCAATGCACCATTTTCACAATATATGTGACATCTCTCTAAGATAAATATAGTTGGGTGTGGTAGCCCATGCCATGAATCTTGGGAGGTAGAGGAAGGCAGATCTCTATGAGTTTGAGTCTGGCCTGGTCTACAGAGCAAGTTCCAAGCCAGCCAGGGCTACACAGTGAGACCTTATTTCAAAAAGAGAGAAGTGGGGCTGGAGAGATGGCTCAGAGGTTAAAAACATTGGCTGCTCTACCAACGGACTCCAGTTCAATTCCCAGCTCACAACCATCTGTAATGAGATCTGGTGCCCTCTTCTGGCATCCAGGCATACATGCAGACAGAACACTGTATACATAGTAAATTTATAAATAAATCTTAGAGAGAGAGAGAGAGAGAGAGAGAGAGAGAGAGAGAGAGAGAGAGAGAGAGAGAGAAAGAAAGATACACTGTGCCTCAGCAGAGCAGCCATGTCTTAGACAGTGCTGAATGCAGGAAGACCCAACCTCAGAGACTAACGCCACCACCATCTACTCACCTAAAGCAGGAATCCAGAAGCTACCCTTCATTTCTCCATTGACCTCACTCTCTCTCCTTTTGGGGACAGAGCCTGTGCTTCTGTGTCCTGGATTTATCAAAGTAAGATCCCTTTCTCTGCAATCTTCTCTCACCCTGGGTCCTCCTCTAGTCTCCCTGGTAATCCTGTCCTGGGCGTCTGTGGGATTTCTGTGTCTATACTCTGTATCGGCCATTCCAGCCTTACTCTGTTCTGCAATTTTGCATTTTTCTTTTTTAGATTTATTTTTTTTATTTTATGTACATCAGGGCTTTGCCTGCATGTATCTTTTTGTGAGGGTGTCTAAACCCCTGGAACTGGAGTTACAGACAGTTCTGAGCTGCCATGTGGGTGCTGGGAACTGAACTCGAGTCCTTTGGAAGAGCAGTCAGTCCTCTTACCCACTGGGCCATCTCTCTAGCCCCGAAATTTTCTTTTTAAATTTAGTTACTTTATGTGTATGTGTGTTTCGCCTGCATGTATGTATGTGCACCACATATGTGCCTGGTTCTTGCTGAAGTCAGAAGAGGGTATCAAATCCCCTGAACCTGGAGTTAGATAGAGACTGTTGAGAGCCTCTATGTGGATGCTAGGAATCAAACCTGGATCCTCTGCAAGAACAAGAAGTTGTTTTAAACTCTGAGCCATGTCTTCAGCCCCTTTTCCTGGTTTTAGTTTGTTTGTTTAGTTTTTGTTTGTTTGGTTTTTTTTTTTGAGACAGGATGTCACGTGGTCCAGGCTGGCCACAGACTTGCTGTGCTGTTGATGATCCTCTTGAGATACTGCAATTCTTGAGACCTTGAAGATTTCAGGACAATATAAAAAGTTTCCTACATCGCCTACATCCATTCCTACCCCCTGTAACTAGTAACTATTAGTACCGTGCAACCATTTTCCTAAAGACATTCTTTACGTACTAAAATGTATTTCAAATCTCATGCTTTTCAAAGGCTGTGAGATCTTTTGGAGGGAAGAAGCTGATCTTATGACCAGTTTGTCCAAAACCCATCTCCAGCTGCTCATTATCTACGTGCTGAAGCCTAAATGTCTGACAGACAGGCTCCAGGACCTAGACCTTCAGCGTGTTTACATTCACCTCCCTGGAAATTCTTCCCTTTTCTTGAACACTCGGTGCTGCACGATACTCTTCTGATATTTCAGAATTTAGCTCATGAACAGATTCCTTTATGAATCCTTCTTAGAATTTTTTTTTTTTTTTTTTTTTTTTTTTTTTTTTTTTTTTTTTTTTGGCTTTTCGAGACAGGGTTTCTCTGTGTAGCTTTGCGCCTTTCCTGGAACTCACTTGGTAGCCCAGGCTGGCCTCGAACTCACAGAGATCCACCTGGCTCTGCCTCCCGAGTGCTGGGATTAAAGGCATGCGCCACCACCGCCCGGCTCGTTCTTCTTAGAATGTTTTTAAACTTTAATTTCTACCGTCTGTGTGTGGGTGCTTTGCCGGCACGTGCGTCTCTGCACCACTGCATGCTTGGTACTTGCAGAGGCCAGAAGAGGGAGCTGGATCCCCAGGAGCCGGAGTTACCGACGGTTGTGAGCCACCGTGTGGGTGCTGGGAATTAAACCAAGGTCCTCTAGAAGAGCAGCTGGTGCTCCTAACCACTGAGCCACCGATCCAGTCCCCATTTATGAAGCCTTTTCTCTTTACACCGGCCACTTCCTTTTTTGATACCTGATCACTTCCTTTCTTGGTACCTCCCCTACCTCATCTAGAGTTGTTCTACGACCTTGCTGCACTCTCACTCCAGGAACGGCCTTGGAGACTAGAGCTGTGTGACTCCTCATTGTGGTCTTTAAGTCAGAAAACAACCAGGGAGGCACCATGGGTTGGAAAGAAACTACGCTGCCAGTGTCATCTTCCTTTCTCAGGGCTCTGCACAGATCTAATACTCTGTACATACTGGCTCCATAAAAGAATGGTGCCGAGGTCTCACTTAGACCTTGACATCACAATTCCATCATTTCTGCTGTAGTTTCTGACCTGATAATGGGGGAAGCCATGGTGCTAGCCCGAACCAAATCCTATTCTGCCTCTTACTCTTTTTACACCTCGATCCAGTTGCTTGTCTCCTCTGGGGTGTAGTTTCCTCACTGCTGTGTTTACCTCCATCAGTTCTGACGTATTAATTAAGAGGGCACATGCTATAAGCATCTAGGACTGAGTCTTCAGCAGATAGAAAGTGCTCACCAAAGGCTTGTCTCCTGCTCTCCCCTATGACGATTACAGAATTACATTCTGAGCCCTTTGGTTGGGACCCAAAACCTGACATGAGTTAACCCTGCCAAACTCCACCTTACCAGGCAAGAGCCCGAGTCTTTTCTGTAACAGAGAAATAATGAGAAATACTGAGAAAACAATAGACTGGCAAGGCTTGGCTCTGAATACCACTTGTAAATTATATGACCTTAGACAAGTAACTTAGTGTCTTTGAATTATGATCTCATGTATGCAAGACAGAAAAAAATCAGCTGAGTGTGGTGGACACACTGGACATCCCAGCATGGGGTGGGAGTGGGTGGGTAGAAAGGAGTGTGCAAGTTTGAGGCTAGCCTGAGGTACATAGTGAGTTTCAGTTGGCCTATATTACAGAATAAGGGCCCATCACAAAGAGGGGGGTGAGTACAAAGTGGAGGAAGAACAAGAAAAGGACAGGGAAAGAAGGAAGCGGAGGAATAGGTTCTTGTTTGTTTGTTTGGTTGGTTTTTGTTCTTGGGGTTTTTTTGTGGGGTTTTTTATTTGCTTTGTTTTGTTTTTCAAGACTGTGTTTCTCTGTGTAGCCTTGGCTGTCCTGGATCTCCCTCTGTAGACCAGGCTGGCCTGGAACTCACAGAGATGCACCTGCCTCTGCCTCCCAAGTGCTGGGATTAAAGGCACCCTTCACCACAGGTAGCTAGAGCTTTTTTGTGTTGTTTTGTTTTAAGTAACACCCCCTCCCATTTTTGCAGTACTAGGGATTGAACCTAGGGCTTCATGCAAGAACGAATTGGCTTTTCCCTCTCCAAAAGGCACAGCTGATTGTAGAACTCACCTCTTGAACTTGTGCTAACTGGGCTTCTGTGGCCGCCAGTGAGGCATTCTTTTCATATAAGAGCTTTTTAAGTCGAATCAGCTCCACGTTCTCCTTAATGGAGGCTCTGTAAATAGAAGGCACTAAACTGTTCCATCTGGGGCCCAGTACCTCCTGCTGGAGCCGGTTCTGTTTCCCCAGAACACATCAGAAGTAGAAACAGTCTGCAAAATACCCTTCCTCAGGGTTTGTTTTTAAGATTTACTTTTTATGTACACAGTGTTCTGCCTGCAGGCCAGAAGAGGGCGCCAGATCTCACTATAGCCGGTTGTGAGCCACCACGTGGTTGCTGGGAACTGAAGTCAGAACCTCTAGAAGAGGAGCCAGCGTTCTTAACCTCTGAGCCATCTCACCAGCCCCACTCCTCCTGTTTGTAATTACGACAGTTAAGATCTGAGGACCACTAACCTTAAGCCTTGATTAACTATTTTTTTAAATTATGGTTCTCACATTTTCTCAGAAATCTTACAGAGTCCAACTAAATATATGCCTTATTTCCTTAGAAACATAATTATAGAGACATAGGAAGGCTATTATTATTTCCAAACCTAGGGGATAATGTTTCTGGGTATTTGATTTAATTTATATTTTTGAGACATCTCACTATATAGCCCAAGTTGGCCCTTTTAAAAAAAAATGACTTAGCTGGGCATGGTGGTGCATACCTTTAATCCTAGCACTCTGGAACTCGGGAGGCAGAGGCAGGCAGATCTCTGAGTTCAAGGCCAGCTTAGTCTACAGAGAACGTTCTAGGACAGCCAGGGCTACACAAAGAAACCCTGTCTCAAAAAACAAAACAAAAACAAAAAAATTACTTGATAGCACACACTTTTAATCTCAACACTTGGGAGGCAGAGGCAGGCAGATACCTGTGAGTTCGAGGCCAGCCTCGTTTACACAGTGAGTTCCAGGGCAGCCAGAGCTATGTAGTAAAACTCTGTCTCAAAAATACATACATACATACATACATACATACATACATACATACATAAGAAAATGAAAGAAAAGTTTAAAAGATATTAGGAAGGATTTAGGCTCACTCTGTCCCAGCATCTCTCACTCTCTGTACTGGCTAGTTACAAACGAGATCTTTAAAATTTATTGTTACTTAGACTTTACCTCCAAGTAATTAAATATGGGGCTTAAGTGTTGAATGTTTAACGGGTCTCCACAGGCTGGGGGTTGTGGCTCAGTTGGTAGAGAGAAGCAGGACTTCCAGGCAAGCAGGAGGTCCTGAATTTGATCCCCAGCATGGTATAAAACAGATGTAGTGGTGAATGCCTGGAATCCCAGGGATCGGAAGGGGAAGGCAGAAGAAGTAGGAGGGTCAGAGGTTCAAGATTCTCCTCTGCTCCACAGTGAATTTGGGCCAGCCTGGGTTACATGAAACCCTGTCTCAAAAGGAAAAAAGTAAAATACAATGAAAACAAAGAAAAATCAATGGACTGTTTGTTATTCAGCCTGAGGCAACAGGGGTGGGGTGGAGGTGGGTTGCTTCACGTGACAGGAACCTGGTAGAGTCCTCAGTGCATGTGATTAAGTGAAAAGAGCGAACCTCAAAGCTGCATTTGTACAATCCGAGCTATCCAATACTGTGGGTGAAAGGAAAAGCTGTACATAGAGAGCAAAAGGCTCAACGGTCATCAGAGGTTGAGGAGAGAGACACAAACAGGCAGAGCACAGGCCATTTTCAGGGCAGTGGCTATCCCGTGATACAGAATGGTGGGTCCCTGTAACTACACACTTGCCCAAACTCCCAGCGTGCACAATAGCAAGAATGAACTTTTTTTTTCCTTTTTCTTTTTTCTTTTTTTCTTTTTTTTTTTTTTAATTTTCAAGACAGGGTTTCTCTGTGAAGCCCTGGCTGTCCTGGAACTCTCTCTGTAAACCAGACTGTCCTCAAACTCAGAGCTTTACCCATTACAGACTGGCCACGAACTCAGAGCTCTACCTATTACAGACTGGCCTCAAACTCAGAGCTCTACCTACCTCCGCCTCCAGAGTGCTGGGACTAAAGGCATTATGCCACCACACCTAAGTATGAACTTTAATATGAACTGCTGCCTCTGTGTCAATATTAGCTCATTTTGATGTCTTGTTTTATTTTTATTTTCATTGAGAAAGGGTTTTACTATGTAACCTTGGCTTGCCTGGAATTGCTTAATCCAGGATGGCCTTGAACTCATAAAGATTGGCCTGTCTCTGCCTCCCAAATGCTGGGATTAAAGGCATGTGCCTCCAGTTCTGACTGTTAGTTATTTTGTAACAAAGGCACCACTTTGGGTTCAGTGGTAAAGAGCATGTACTGCTCTTGGAAGGCAGAGATTCTAGTCTCAGGTTAAACCAGCAGTCAAGCCCAGTTCCAAGGGTCTGGCGCCCTCTTCTGGCCTCTTCTGGTACCAGGTGCACACAGTGCACTAACATATCTGTAGGCAAAACATTCCCTCATTAAATACACACACACACACACACACACACACACACACACACACACACACACACACACACCACACAAATCTGAAAAATAACGAGGAGCTGAAGAGTTGGCTTGGCTGTTAAGGGCACATGTTGCTCTTGCAGAGGACTGGGGTTCAATTCCCAGCATCTGCATGGTGGCTGGATGCAACCTCATAGTCTTCTGACCTTCACAGGCAGCAGGCACTCACATGGTGCACAGACACATGTGTAAGTAAACATTCATAAACATGAAACGAAAATAAATCTAAATAAAACATTTTAAATACAATATAAAGCGAAAAGGCTGTGGAGACAGGTGTATGTGGTCCTTCTTATTCAACTTGGCTATGAAACTAAAAGACTGATCTAAATAATGCTGTCCATTTTCCACATGGTGTGTGTGTATGCGTGTGTGTGTGCGTGTGTGTGTGTGTGTGTGTGTGTGTGCGCGTGTGCGCGTGTGCGTGTGCGTGCGCGCGCACCTGTATGTTCACACTCATGCTCATATACATACACGTGGAGGCCAGAGGTTGACACTGGGTCTCTTCCTCATTTGCGCTCCACTTTAGATGTTGAGACAAGGTCTCATACAGAGCCTAGCTAGGCAATGAGTTCCGAGGAGCCCCTTGTCTCCAATACCCTAGTGCAGAGATTGTAGACACATGCTGCCACACCCAGCTCTTCTGTGGCCGCTGAGGTTCCAAACCCTGGTCCTCATGCTTCTGTAACAAGCAGCTTACTGATTGCGCTAATATCCCTAGTCTTTTTTTTAATCAGTTTTGTTTGTTTGTTTGTTTGTTTTTGCCAGTAGAATGAGTCTTACCTTCAATTCCAGCACCCCAGAAGCAGAGGAAGCCATCTCAGCCCTTGAGCAAGGACTCTACCCTGAGCTAAATCCCCAATTCTTCGACCAGCGCATAAAAGCACTTGCTACAGAAGTCACACAATTTAAGTTCAATTCTTGGAACTTCTGGTGGAATAAAAGAACTAACTCCAGCCAGGCGGTGGTGGCGCATGACTTTAATCCCAGCACTCTGGACGGCAGAGGGAGGTGGATCTCTGTGAGTTTGGGGCCAGCCTGGTCTACAAATGGAGTCCCAGGACAGTCAGGACAGGACTGTTACACAGAGAAACCTTGTCTCAAAAAAAAAAAAAACCAAAAAAAAAAACCTCCAGAAAGTTGTCTCTGATCTGCCCATACATGGAAATCACATGTGTATGTCTGCATTTGAACACACACACACACACACACACACACACACACACACACACACACACACTAAAAAAAGTAAAATAAAGCCAGGTGGTGGTGCATGCCTTTAATGCCAGCACTTGGGAGGCAGAGGCAGGTAGATCTCTGAGTTCGAGGCTAGCCTGGTCTACAAAGTGAGTTCTAGGACAGCCAGGACTGTTACAGAGAAAACTTGTCTCAAAAAAAATCTAAATAAATAAATAAAAGTAAAATTAAAAAAAAAATTTTTGGAAAATATTTTTTAAAGGTGGGACAAGTTTATGCAGGATTTCCTTCCTTCATTCCTTTCTTTTTTCAGCTTGAGGACAATTTTATTAGAATTTAAAAGGGAAAAATGCTTCAGGGCAAGCAAGCCTTAAATCTCAGCAACTGCCCAAAGGAGAAGAATGGAGGAGAGAAGGAAAAAACACCATGCCAACTTGAGTTAAGAGGGCATGAAGGGGCTGGAGAGATGCTCGGTAGTTAAGAGCACTGGCCGCTCTTCCAGAGGACCTGGATTCAATTCTCAGCACCCACATGGCAGCTCACAACTGTCTGTAACTCCAGATCCACAGGATCCGACTCCCCTGGAAAAACACTCATACACATAAAATAAATAAATTAAATTAAATTTAAAAGAAGAGGTCATAGAGGTCAGCTACGTGATGGGGAGGAGGTGTTAGAGAAATAGTGATGCCCAGCATGTCAGGGCAAACATGCTTAGAAAATGATAGAAGGAAGAAAAGGAGAAGTTATGTGTGGGACTCTTTAAGAAACTGCCCTAAGAGGGGGAATGTGGGAAGGAAAAGTACGTTATCTCATTCAAAGGGATAAGTATTCTGCCTATCCCTTTTTATATTTTATTAACCCTTTTAATGTTATTTATTTGATTGTATTTATGTACATTGGCATCTGAGCCCCCTGGAGTTACAGACAGTTGTGAGCTTCCATGTGGTTGCTAGGAATTGAACCCGGGTCCTCTGGAAGAGCAGCCAGTGCTCTTAACCACTGAGTCATCTCTCCAGCCCCTAATTCTTTAAGAATTTCAGCCCAGGCAGTGGTGGCACAGGCCTTTAACCCCAGTACTCAAAAGGCAGAGACAAGCAGATCTCTGTGAATTTAAGGCTAGCCTGGTCTACAAAGCTAGCTAGGTCCAGGACAGCCAGGGCTACACGGAGAAATTCCTTCCCCCCCACCCACCCCCTCTCCTCTCACTTTAGAAGTAGTCTCATATGTCACCCTGGAATTCTCTGTGTAGACCAGGCTGGCCTCCATCAGAGATCCACCTGCCTATTCCTCCTGAGTGCTGGATTAAAGGCGTACAACACAATGCCTAGCTTCTTTATAAGCAGGATTGCTTAACTTATTAGATTCTCCAAGTCCATGTTTCAGATTGAATCTGTTCCTAAATAATCTCTTTTCCTCCAAGGTGAAGAAAAGCTGGAAAACAAAACAAACCAGACACCACCTTGACTTTTTCTGCTCGGTATGGTTTGAGGTATGGAATGTTCGCTCTCACCGAAGCTCTGCAGCCTTCCGAACACACTCCAGTGAGCTCCTCCACGTGAGCTGTTCATCTCTGGGCATTTTCTTAGGAGACCTGGGTAGCTCTTCCACTTGTGTAGAATTAGTGGTCATGATGCGAGCACTGTTAAGCATACATAGACGATCGAATTTAGCCCGAATCAGGACACGGCTGATAAAAAGTATACTTCTATAATTAGAGGAAGATTAAACACAAAAGGGAGAAGCAGAAACTTTTATAAGGCTTAGAACTGAGCTGTTCACTTACCAAAAAAAGTTAGAAAATCGGTTACCTTAGTGATAAAGAGGGTAATCTTATAAAATCCAGCCTGCACATGCCAACATAGGAGATAAAAACTAAAAGGAAAGGGGAATACTTTAGGTTGTTAGAAAGGAAGTTAACCTGTAAGTCCCACCTGCCCTAGGACAGGTAACCTCCTGGGATTCTGGGAGTTGTAGTTCTTAAAAATAAATAAACAAACAAACAAATAAATAACAAAACCTCATGGGAAAGTATGGTGGCCTATGGGTTTTGTCACTGTAAGTTCCTCCAACAAGTGTCTTGGAGACACTTACCTGGAAAGTTTCCAGGTAATGGTCCTAACCAAATTCCATCGTGGTCAGAATTTATAATTTTAATGAAAGCCTGCTTAAATTCGGCCAAAATGGTGGAACTGGTTTTTCTGGCGAATTTCAGGATTAACATTATGAAAAGGACTTATACTTTTTCCTCAATGAACAGAGAAATGCTTGTTTTATAGATACACAAAAGAATGTCATAAATTTTGACAGGGCCTCATTGTGAAGACCAGGCTGGCCTGGAACTCACAGAGATCCCCCTGTCTCTGTGCAGGTATGCTGGGACTAAGGAATGCTCATCCTGTTGGTTCTTGTTTTTTTTTTTTTGAGACAGGGTTTCTCTGTGTAGTTTTGTGCCTTTCCTGGAACTCACTCTGTAGACCAGGCCGGCCTCGAACTCACAGAGATCCGCCTGGCTCTGCCTCCTGAGTGCTGGGATTAAAGGCGTGCGCCACCACCGCCTGGTGTTTGTTTTGTATTTTTAAACAAAGAAGTTGGGGGCTGGAGAGATGGCTCAGTGGTTAAGAGCACTGGCAGCTCTTCCAGATTGGACCCAGGTTCAGTTCCCAGCAACTACATGGCAGCTCACAACTGTCTGTAGTTCCAGGGGACCATGTTCTAGGGGTCCAGTTTCAGGGGACCCCTAGTAAAACACCAATGCACATAAAAAAATAAAAGTAAATACTTTTTTAAAAAAAGAGAAAGCTGACACTGACTTACAGCTGCCTTTTGATTTCTCTGATTATCCTGGAAATCAGCAACACTCACTGATCCTTCAATGACATATTTCCAACTAGAACTTTTTTAGTAACAACACAGGACTCGAAAGAGGAACTCACAGTTGCCGGGGTTCACTGGTTATTTCGATTCTGTTGTTCTCATCTCTCACATATCCCTTCAAGGTGGGAGGGGCTGTACAGCTGCGCCTGTCTTTTGGCCCTGAAAATTTAGGCAGAGAAAGATGTGAGATGTAGCCACACTACCTTCTAGAACACCACATAACAAAACCTGGGTGTCATATGCTGGCCACTATGAGCCTTGAGGCTGGGCAGGGAAGGGGGGGAGGGCTTATGTGACAATTAGTCCTAAAGGTGTTTCCTTCCTCCTTACGTAGAATCAGAACTGCAAATACCTTCAGCCAAGGATACTGACTCAGTGGGGCTGGAGAGATGGCCCAGTGGCTAAGAGCACTGGCTGCTCTTCCAGAGGTCCTGAGTTCAATTCCCAGCAACCACGTGGTGACTCACAACCATCTGTAATGAGATCTGGCGCCCTATTCTGGCGTCCAGGCGTATATGCATACAACAGAATACTGTATACATAATAAAATACTGTATTTATTAATAATAATAATCATAAAAAGAACACTTTCGGCCAGGCGGTAGTGGCGCACACTTTTAATCCCAGCACTCAGCAGGCAGAGCCAGGCGGATCTCTGTGAGTTCCAGGCCAGTCTGGGCTACAGAGTGAGATCCAGGACAGGCACCAAAACTACACAGAGAAACCCTGTCTCGAAAAACCAAAAAAAAAAAAAAAAAAAAGATAGTACAAGCCAGAGCCTGATACATAACAGGTACAGTCATGCTTAAATGTCCTCATTTATTTTATTGTTTGTTTTGGTTTCTCGGTGTAGCCCTGGCTCTCCTCGAACTCACCATGTAAACCAGGCTGGCCTTGAACACAGAAATCTGCCTGCTTCTGCCTGGATCTGTGCTGGAATTAAAGGCTTACTTCACCATTCCAGGGTTTGTTTGTTGTTTTTGTTTTGTTTTGTTTTTGTTTTTGAGGCAGGGTCCCACTCTGAAGTCCAGGTCAGCCTGCAGCTGGTAGCAATTCTTCCTCAGCCTCCTGGGGGCTGACATTACAAACGTAATGCTTGACTCAGGACAGAAATTTAGACTCCTGTTTTTTCAGCTGCTTTTTGCAAACGCTTGCTTAGCTGGAATAGAGGACTTGAAAGCATAGAACCATATTACACAAAACGAGTGAGGATTTGGGGGAGTGAAAGTGCCGCACGACTTTAGTTCCAGCACTCAAGAGGCAGAAGCAGACAGATCTCTGAGTTCGAGTCCAGGCTGGTCTACAGAGTGAGTTCCAGGACAGCCGGCACTACACAGAGCAACCTTGTCTTGAAAAAAACCAAAAACCAAACAGACAAAAAACCCAAATGAGTATTTAAGCAATAAGATAAGAGTGTCTAAATCAAATATTGTTTGTAGACTTGCTTTGCCCAGGCTCTCCTCACTAACTTAGGCCTTGAGAACAGACTGTCTTCTGGAGGCTGCCGCTGAGGGTCCAAGACAGACCTCAGGCTCAGCCAGTTAGAGCACAGGAAGAGGAAGTACAACCGGTGCTGACCCTTTGCCGCGGGGCTCAGGACCTCAGCCAGGGCCGCGCTCAGGGAAACGCTGAGCCTACAGAATCATGTGTAGTTTGTGTGTATGCCCAGTTTTCTTGGGAGAAGGGCCTTAAATATGGCCCTGGTTTCAAAGGAGTCCTGTTCTCCAAACCCGGAGCACAGAGGCACAGTTGTCCTGCAAGCCCTGGCTTCCCAGCCACATGTCTGGCTTTCAGACCCTCACTCCTAAGCATAGTCCCCGTGCTCAGGGTGCCTCCTTCCTAGACTGCTGTGGACTCCACCAGCAAAACTGTTTCCACAGTCTGCTTATGTTGGGCAAAATCCTTCGGAAACTGAATTGTTTGTTCAGGTTTTTTTTTTTTTTTTTTTTTTTTTTTTGAGACAGGGGTCTCACTGTGGATTCCTGGCTGGCTTGGAACTTGCTATGTAGGGCAGGATGACCCGAATTATCAGAGACCCTGCAGCCTCTTAACTCTGGAGAGAGAGTGGGGATTATCACAACCAGCTGTTGATTTTGAAGGTTTGTTTGTTTGTTTCGTTTTTCGAGACAGGGTTTCTCTGTGTAGCTTTGCGCCTTTTCTGGAACTCACTCTGTAGCCCAGGCTGGCAGAAATCCTCCTGGCTCTGCCTCCCAAGTGCTGGGATTAAAGACGTGCACCACCACCGCCCGCCCGGCCCGAATCTTTTAATGTTTAATTTTTTGATTACCATACAAAATGATGGGTTTCTCTGCAATTGTACATAGGTACCACCGCTTTGTGTCTCCTCCTTTGCCTCCCCCACGCCCTTCCCTGGTGGGTTCCCTTCCTTCCCCCAGATAATCTTCCCTTCTGATTCCTTACCACTGTTACCCTTTCTTTACCCCCTCCCCTTAGTGTTGTTTAGTTCTGTTTTTGTTGTTGTTGCTGTTTTATTTATTTTTTGGAGGTCCAGGAGATTAACCTACAGTATCAATCATGTTAACCAAGCCCTTAGCCACCGAGCCACATGCAAGCGGTGAATTCAGAAATTTGTACCCAACTACCACGGGTGGGGGTGGGGGGCGGCAGGGCAGGCTTTTAGAAAGGCGGAAAGGTGAGATAACAATAATGAGTTAATGAGTAGACTAAAGCAGGGAATGCTGGGTGATCATGGCGTGCGCCTTTAATCCCAGCATCTGGGAGGCGGAGGCAGGCGGATCTCTGTGAGTTCGAGGCCAGCCTGGTCTACAGAGTGAGTTCCAGGACAGCCAGGGTTACACAGAGAAACCCTGTCTCAGAAAACAAAACAAACTAAAGAAGAAGAAAGCAGGAAAGGAACATGATTGGTGATTCAGTCCCCTCCTGGGGCGTAGTTCCAGCCTCACTCTGCTTGGGTTTCTGCTGCAGTTACATACCAGGCGTGCGGGACAGTCTTCGTCCCGCGTGGACTCGAGGCTGTGCACCGCCTGGCGCGCTGGAGGGACACAGGCGCTGTGGATGCGCTTTTCTCCTGGGAACCGAGGGGCGTGGGGGCGCCGAGGGGCGTGGGGGCGCCGAGGGGCGTGGCCGCCTCGCAGGCTCCTTGAGCGCAGCAAGTGCCAGCAGGTCCCGTTGGGTAGTGGTGGATTGCTGCGTGGTACTCCTCCGCCTATGGCAAAACAGATCACGTGGGTTTCCCCACTCACCAACCCTCGCTGGGTTGAAGTCGGGGCTTGATTCTAGCTGGGCAAGCCTCAGAGCTATTCTAGCTGGGTAAGCCTCGGAGCTTTGGTGTCTTAGTTAGGGTTAACTGTTGCTTGAATGAAACAGCATCACCAAAAAAATAATTTGGGGAAAAAGGGTTTATTTGGCTTATGTTTCCACATTGTAGTCCATCACCGAAGGAAGTCAGGATAAGAACTCTCACTCGGGCCGGAACCTGGAGGCAGGAGCAGGTGTAGAGCCTGTGGAGGAGGGCTGCTTACTGGCTTGCTTCCCTCGGCTCATTCAGCCTGATTTCTTATAGAACCCAAGACAACCATCCCAGGGATGGTACCACCAGCAATGGGCTGGACCCTCCTGAGCCCTCCTCCATCAATCTCTAAGAAAATGCCCTAAGGCTAGATCTTTGTTGTTTTGTTTTGTTTTGTTTTTGTTTTTTGAGACAGGGTTTCTCTGTGTAGCCCTGGCTGTCCTGGAACGTTCTCTGTAGACCAGGCTGGCCCTCGCACTCAGAGATTTATTTGCCTCTGCTTCCCAGTGCTGGGACTAAAAGCATGGACTATGATGCCTGGTAAGAAACAAACGAGTTTTAAGAGAAGTAATAAATGTAAGTAAAGTTTTTACTTCTATGCAATTGTTAAGTCTCAGGCAGTCCATATGTCCAGATATGACAGTCTTGGCTCAATTCAAGCTGGACTATAAAACGATTTGTGGCAGTTAGATAAAAGCCAGCATTCCTCAGGAACTTGTGAAACCCATTCCCATCTGCCAAAAGGAGTCACTTCCCTTGCCTCTCACAGAAGGGACACATGGGTCTTCATTGACATATACCTGAGGTTGCGTATCAAAGCCCAAGCTGGTCTGGAGGCTCCCTCAGTACTGTTATACATCTCAAAATCTCCATGCTAGCACCCCCAGGCCTGCTCTAGCTGACTGACTTCTCGCCCCACAGCTACTCATTCTCTTTATAATCCAAGTGATTTCTCTGCTCTGAGCTCTCTTGCTTCTCTAGAAGATAGCCAGCCCTGGCCATGTCCATTCTACTTCATTTTTTCTCTGCTCTAGACTCTTCTAGATGCCTCTAGATATGTTCTCTCTTATTTACAATAAAAACCTCCCCACTTAAGCGGGGCAGTGGTGGCGCACACCTATAATCCCAGCATTCGGGAGGCAGAGCCAGGCGGATCTCTGTGAGTTCGAGGCCAGCCTGGGCTACCAAGTGAGTTCCAGGAAAAGGCGCAAAGCTACACAGAGAAACCCTGTCTCGAAAAACCAAAAAAAAAAACCTCCCCACTTGAACCAGGCGATGGGGGCGGGGCACTCCTTTAATCCCTGCACTCAGGAGGTAGAGACAGGTGGATCTCTGAGTCTGAGGCTATCTGGTCTACAAAGCAAATTCCAGGACAGCCAGGACTGTTACACAGAGAAACCCTGTCTCAAAACACCCCCCCCCAAAAGATTAATCTCTGACTCAGGCTTGGTGATGTAAGCCTATAATCCCAGCACTGGATTGAACAGCTGTTCAGCACCAAGGTTGTTTAGGAAACATTACCACATGAGACAAAGCAAGACTACTGTAGTGTGACATCTACCCATAATCCTAGCCTTGGGCACACAGGCAGGGGGACTGTTCCAAGTTCCAGGCCAGCCAGACCTACATAACTTGACACTGTCTCAAAATAAAAATCATAAAAAGGGGGCTGGAGAGATGGCTCAGTGGTTAAGAGCGCCGACTGCTCTTCCAGAGGTCCTGAGTTCAATTCCCAGCAACCACATGGTGGCTTACAACCACTTGTAATGAGATCTGGTGCCCTCTTCTGGCCTGAAGGGATACATGCAGGCAGAATACTGTATACATAATAAATAAATAAATCTTTAAAAAAAAAATCATAAAAAGGGGTTGGGTGTGTTGGCACACTCCTGCCTAGGTACACCCAGAGATCCACAATCGGAAGCCCACAGTCTAAGATCACTGAGTATGGAACACTTTGGAGTTAAGGGCTTTAGCTCTGCCGCTTACTAGGTATGATCATGGGCTCTTCAGGTTTCTTTCTCCTCCTAATAATACTCTGCCTTCACACTATCTCATGCTTTGAAAGCAAATGGCCTCCAAAGGGCATGGCACGATTAGGAGTTGTGGCCTTGTTGGAGGAGGTGTAGTCTTGTTGGAGGAAGTGTGTCACTGTGGAGATGGGCTTCGAAGTCTCATATACGTTCAGGCCATGCCCAGTGAGACAGACCATTTCCTGTTGCAAAATGTCGACCTCTCAGCCACCTCTCCAGTACCACATCTGCCTGTATGTTGAATGTCTCACCACGATGATAACAGACTGAAAATGTAAGCCACCTCAATTAAATGTTTTCCTTTATAAGAGTTGCCGTGGTCATGGTGTCTCTTCCCAGTAATAGAAACCTTAACTAAGACACACTAGTAAATGAGTCAACAGATTTAATAGTAAATCAGTTTATGTGTGTACAGAACACACAATATGCCTGCACGCAGTAAAGAGTCAACTGATCTTTACTTTTCAAAAGAAAACTTCCTTTTCACACTCCTAACGCCCTTGTTCTGCCAAGATTTTACCATCCACCCTGTCTCCATTCCCTCCCTTACAGCCAGACAGGAGCCTGCGGAGTCGCTTGCTCTGTGCGTTGGTATACCATCACCAGGCTACGTGGGCTGCTCTGTGCTGTGTTCAATTCTGAGGTGTGTGGTAGAAAAACAAGAAAGCAATAATGTTCGCAAAAAATTTTTTGAGCCCGACATCCTTGATGTTTGAGTAATTTTTTGGTACAGACATCTGAGGAAAATAGAATCCTTTCAGTTTATATGGAGCCAATTTGCCTCAGATGCAGCTTCTGAAAGCATAAGAACTCTGGGTACCTTTTGCTTTTATCTCGTTGCTTCAGAGAAAGTTCCTTCACCAGCATGGGCTCTTTCTGAAGATGAAAGAGTCTGTAGTCCAGGTCCTCCTGGCTCATCTTGCCCATGTGTGACTGAGCCTTCACGCTCTTACCTGAAGCCCCTGAAGAGAGCAGTTGGAGAAAATTTTTACATGTTGTCTTGTTTGTTTATTCTATTTTATTTTGTTTGTTTGTTTTTCAAGACAAGGATTTTCTGTGTGGCCTTGGCTATCCTGTCTGTAGACCAGACTGGCCTCAAACTCAGAGGCCTTTGCCTCCTGAGTGCTAGAATTAAAGGCGTGCACCACCTTTAATTATTTAGACCTTTATTTACTTGTTACCTTTTTAAGAGTCTTGCCAGGTGGGGGCTGGAGAGACGGCTCAGGGCACTGGCTGCCCTTCCACAGGACCTGAGTTCTGTTACCAGAACCTATGTTGGGCCGCTCACAACAGCCTATAACTCTGAAGCTAGGGATGGAGCTCAGTTGGCAAGCTTTGTGGCGAGTGCCGTTGTCTGCTGAGATCTCGATGGCCCTGTTTATTGTTTTTTTTTTTTTTTTTTGAGATAAGGTCTCACTCTGTAACACAAGCTAGCCTTGAACTTGTAATTCTCCAGTGTCTGTCTCTAAAGTACTGATGTAGCAAGAGAATAGAAACTTTAGGGCTGGAGAGAGATGGCTCAAGAGGTTAAGAACACTGGCTGTTTCTTCCAGAGGTCCTGAGTTCAATTCCCAGCAACCACATGGTGGCTCACAACCATCTGTAATGAGATCTGGCACCCTCTTCTGGCTAGCAGGGACTCATGTAGACAGAACACTGTATACATAATAAATAAATAAATACATAAATAAATAAATCTTTAAAAAAAAAGAAAAAGAAACATTAAAAAGCTACATCAAGATGATATGGTGGGGCCAGGTGTTGGTGGTGGTACACGCCTTTAATCCTAGCGCTCAGGAGACAGAGGCAGGCAGATTCTGTGAGTTCTAGGCCAGGCCAGCCATGGTAACACAGTGAGACCTTTTCTCAAAAAATAAATGAAGAAATAGATTAATGTATAAAAGAAGTTAGGGACAGAGACTGGAAGCCCTTGCCCAGCTGGCTGCATACAACAAACACAGCATACTTGAGAAGAGCTCCTCTTTCTTTTTTTCTGCCTGCAGCAGAGAGAGCTTTAGTGTGGCCCAGCCATTTCCTTTTAGATTGTGCATCTCTGCTGCTTGGGCCTGAAACACGCACTAGTCCATTACCAGCTTTCATAGTGTCTAGGGCAGAGATAGTTAGCTTAACTTCCCCAACCTCATGATAGAATCTTTATTGTAAGAGGCCCAGGGGCACTCTGTCTCAGAGTACACGTCCAGCCCTTTGTCTCCAGGCTCCTCTTGAACTGGAGGCTGATGCATCCAGGACCACAAGGACAGAAGGGCTTGGTTGACTTCATTTACTAATAAAATTGTTTAACTTTTAAATTAATTAAAAGCAAAAAACGGCCGGGCGGTGGTGGCGCACGCCTTTAATCCCAGCACTCGGGAGGCAGAGGCAGGTGGATCTCTGTGAGTTCGAGGCCAGCCTGGTCTCCAAAGCGAGTACCAGGAAAGGTGCAAAGCTACACAGAGAAACCCTGTCTTGAAAAAAACCAAAAAAATAAAAAAATTAAAAAAAAAAAAAGCAAAACAAAACAAAACTTCAATGGCTGAGAAGATGCTTCAGTCAGTAAAGTACACGTCTCCCAACCATGAGGATCAGAGTTTAGATCTCCAGAACCCGCATAAAAGGTCAGTCATGGTGGCCTGTGATCCCAGCAAAGGCAAGCTGGGTGGTCAAGACAGATGGATAGCCAAAGGCTCCCAGACAAGCTTCCGAGCTTACATAGTCAGGTCTTGTAGTAGGACAGGACCATAGGGTTGAGGAAATTGGCTCAGACCAGTTGCTAAGGCATGCACATAGCATACTCCTTACGAGCCAACCTGGAGTCTGCCTGAGGGCCTAGGAACAGGAACTGTTAGAGTGTCTGGTCACTGTCAGGGTTCCTAGTTGATGTCAGAGTTTCTGATCATGCCCAGCCAGTGAGGGACAACCACACAGACTGGGTGCTGGGAGAAGAGTCTATAAGGCCTTCCCTGTTATTGAATAAAGGAGTTTGTTATTTGCCTTCAAAAGGGCTCCCCATTGATGCTGTGCCTTCTCACCCCTCCCCTGAGGGAGCCATTAGGATCCAAGCAACAAGGTCCCAAGCCAATAAGGGAGTGTCTCAAAACAAAAGGTGGAAGGTACCAACACCCAAGATTGTCCTTCGACCTCTAGTGTGTACTCCCCAAATGCGCACACAAACATACACACACAGAATCAGAATAAAATATTAAGAAAATCTAAGAAGGCTCAGAAGTGATTCAGTAGTTAAGGGTACTTATTGCTCTTGCAGAGGACCCAAGTTCAGTACCCAGCATCCACATGGTAATTCACAACCACCTGCCTGTTTGAGGGGATCTGATGAACACAGCACTGCACGTGCATGCACATGATGCACACATATACTCAGGTACACACACATACACATACCCATATAATTAAATAAATAAATATTTTTTAAAAAAAGAAAATTTAAGAAAGGGACTGAAAGAAAACAGTTGCCATTGTGAAGACTGTCAGGACTGTCTCCCCCGACCCCCTTGACAGACTGGGGATTATCTCAGCCAGTGGTGAAGACATCCATATCTAGGCACAGGATTTATCTACCTTCCAACAGATGCATTGAGTCATCTGTGTCTCTAACTGGTATATCCTCTGGTATATGGTCCAGTAGATGTATCATCACCTCGATTATCAGGCTGTAAGAGATCCTGGAAGACACTAAATAAAGGAAAAGTTTTGTTATTTTGTCTTTTTTTTTTTCCAGAGCTGAGGACCGAACCCAGGGCCTTGCGCTTGCTAGGCAAGCGCTCTACCACTGAGCTAAATCCCCAACCCCAAGTTTTTACGATATTATAACTTTAGACTGTCTTCTGCAGGATCTCCCTAAATTGTGTAGGAATTTCCCAGTACTTTTGTGGTAGCATTGGACGCATCATAGTTATTTTTGTTGTGGTGGTGTTGTGGACAACAATAAGGCCATGCACTCAGTAATCATGATATTATTTACTCAAAGTTAAAATTAATTTTCTGATCGTCAGATTGATACCATTTTTGATTAATTTTAAGTATCTGCTCCTCCTGGTAGAAAATGACCAACCTTTGTCTCTGGGAAATGGGCTTCTAAATCTTCTTTCCTCTCCATTTACAGGGGCTGACTCTCTTACCAGTTTATATTCTATGACCTAGCTACTGTGATGGGATCAGACACAGAATACTAACCCCAGTTCAATTAATCATGTACTATCTCCTAGAGAGCTGGAAAAAGGCAGAGAAAGTTAAATTAAGCTAGATATGGTAGTATATTCCTGTAACCCCATCACTTAAGAGGCCAAGGCAAGAGGATTCAAAGTTTGAAGCCTGTCTGGGCTACTTAGTTAGACATTGTTTAAAAAAAAAAAAGAGCCTAGTGTCAGGAGGCAGAGGCAGGCAGATCTCTGGGAGTTCAAGGCCAGCCTAATCTCCAGAGTGAGTTCCAGGACAGGCTCCAAAGCTAAACAGAGAAACCCTGTCTAAAATAAAACAAAACAAAACAAAACAAAAACCAAAGAAAGAAAGAAAAAGAGGAGTTGGGACTTAGCTCAGTGGTAGAGCACTTACCTAGCAAGCACAAGGCCCTGGGCTCAGTCCTCAGCTCTGGGAAAAAAAAGAAAAAGAAAAAGAGAGGGTCTGGAGAGGTGGCTCAGAGGTTAAGAACACTGGCTGCTCTTCCAGAGGTTCTGCGTTCAATTCCCAACAACCACATGGTGGCTCACAACCCTTTATACAGATGGCACCCTCTTCTGGTGTGCAGGCATACATGCATACATAGTAAATAATCATACACACATACATAATAAATCTTGGGCTGGAAAGATGGCTCAGTGGTTAAGAGCACTGACTGCTCTTCCAAAGAACTCGGGGTTCAAATCCCAGCACCCGCATGGCAGCTAACAACTGTCTATAACTCAAAGATCTGACCTGCAAGCAAAACACCAATGCACATAAAATAAAAGTAAATAAATTTTTAAAAAATCTTTAAAAAAGAAAGGAAGAAAAAGAGAGGATCTAGAGAGATGGCTCAGAGGTTAAGAGCATTTACTGCTCTTGCAGAGGACCTGTGTCCTGTTCCCAACACCCACATGTAGGCTCGTAAGTGTTTTTGACTCCAGTTCCAGGGAATCTGATGCCTCTTCAACCTCCACAGGCTCCTGGATGCATGTGGTACATAGACATACATGCAGGCACACATGCGTATACGTAAAATCAAGTAAAATCAATGTAAAAAGTGGGGGGAGGAGTGGGAGCAACAGGGAGGCAGGAGTTCAAACTAGTCTCTGTGAATGGGAGTTCAGGACAGCCACGTTCTTTCTTTTCTGTCCTGAATGATAGAGAAATCCTGTCTGTAAAATGTCTCACACCTTGGTCAACACTCTTCTCTTGTTTTAGATACTGAGTACAGACATATCACTGCATCCAAAGTTATCCCTGCAGCCTCCACCCTCACATACCACTGCATCCAAAGTTATCCCTGCAGCCTCCACCCTCACCTACCACTGCATCCAAAGCTATCCCTGCAGCCTCCACCCTCACCTACCACTGCATCCAAAGTCATCCCTGCAGCCTCCACCCTCCCATGACACTTGATGTCTTTCAAGCCTCTTAACTTGCATAGCTCCTGGATATCTCAAACTCAACCTGTCAAGCAGAACTCTCATTTCTCCGATCTCCATTCCCGTCTCTGTGTGCCATTGGCATCCTAGCTGTCCCAAAGCCTTGATACCTCCCTTTCCCTCAGCCAGTAGCATGTGCTCCGGTTTCTTCCTCAAGTAATAGCTCACATTCTCCAACACTGCAAACTCAGGCATCTGTGTGCCTTTCCTCAACTGCCATGTTTTCCTAATGCTCTCCGTTTCCCTCTCTAACCTCTACCAGTTCTCCTTAAAACATTCACAGCGACTTTATAAAGTAACCCACATGCATAATGCTTAGAAGTTCCCAGGGGGTTTTCAGTACCTTCAAATGAAATCTAAACTTTCTGCCAAAGCCCACAGGCCCTGTACAAAGTGGTGCCTTTTTCACAATGCCCCACCTTCAGTCAGGCTCTGTGCCTCTTATGTTCAGCTTACCATACTGCTCAACCTTTGGTCCTCTCTGTGACTCCGGTCATCATGCTCCTGCTAGGCTCCATGGCTCTCGAACTTTACTGGACTGCTTTTTCTCTTGCTCTTTTACTATTATTGGTTGATTGACTGATTGATTTTTGAGACACGGTCTCTCTACACAGCTCTGGCTGTCATGAAACTTGCTCTATAGATCCGACCGGCCTCAAACTTACAGAGATCTACCTGCCTCTGATTCCCCAGTGCTGGGATTAAAAGCCTGTACCACCACACTGGGGTCAACCTCTCTGTCACATTCCTTTTTTTTTTCTCCAAGACAGGGTTTCACTGTATAACCCTGGCTGTCCTGGAACTCACTTGGTAGACCATGATGACCTCGAACCCACAAAGATAGGCCTGCCTCTGCCTCCCAAGTACTGGGATCAAAAGCATGGGCCACCACTGCCAGTCTCCTGTCTCATTGTTAATACTCAGATATCATTGTCATTTATTTATACTTTTTTTTATTGTCTGTCCCTCCATCTAAGATATAAGGATTTTGAAGGAAGAGAATGAATGCAACTTGTTACATTTGCATATACTATAGACTTTCTGAAATGGTTCCTAGAAAACAACAGGAACCTAAAAAAGCATATACCAAATAAACGAAAGAGAGGGGCTGCCACGAGGGGGCCAAGTCAAAGCTCTTGACTTTTTCCGCCTCCGCTTCTTTTTTAACTGTGTTTGTTTCTTGAAACAGAGTCTCATCATGTATCCCTGGCTGGCCTAGAACTTTCTCTGTAGACCAGCCAGGTCTGGAACTCATCTCTCTTTGCCTCTGGAGTGCTGGGATTAAGGACTCGTACCAACATGCCCAGCTATCGTCTTTGTGAAATCTGGTCTGTCTGTGCCCTACGTGAGTGCCTCTTCAAAAACCCAAGAATGGAGATGGCTGCCGTGCTTGGGGTTGGAGGGAATTTAGAAAGAGGCATCTCCTCATCCTTATTAGAGGCAGGAGGATAATAAGTTTGAGGCCAGTCTGGGCTACATGGTGAGACACTGCTTCAAAAAGTGACAATTTAGCAGAGTATGGTGGTAACATGCCTTTAATCTCAGCACAGGGAGAGAGAAGCAAACAGATTTCTAGGAGTTTGAGGCCAATCAGGTCTACACAGTGAGTTCCAGACAGTCAGAACTATTTGGAGAGACTCTGTCTAAAAAACAAACAAAACCAACAAAAAAACCCGACAACAACAAGCCAGGAATCCCTCTCCTTCCAGCAAGACAGCAATAGACGTAAAAATGTGGCATCTTGTGAAAATTAGTTATTAGTTAGTCGGGAAGAGTGGAGGGAAGCGCGGGTATGATGGCACATGCCTGTAAAGCCAGCACTGGGGAGGCCGAGATACGAAGATAGCTACAGATTCTAGGATAGCTTGTCTACAGTGAAGTTCACGACAGCCAGGGTGTAGAGCAAGACCTGTCTCAAAGAGTAAGAAACCAGCCACTAATGAGCATGGAGGAGAGAACGGTGCTAGGAAGCCATTGCCCTTGTTCAGCAAAACGCTGGGAAGCGGGGAGGTCCAGGGACAGAAGGGTGGCATGGATCATCACCCACCAAAGCTCTTGGATGTGGAACAGACCTAAGAGTGACAGGATTGAAGATCCTTTGGTGCATACCTCCAAGGCTGGTGAAATGATACAGAAGGAATACACTTATTTTGCTCTTCTCCCAAGGATCCAGGGTAAAATATGAAAGATTATAAATGCACATTAGAGGGCTGGAGAGATGGCTCAGTGGTTGAGAGCACCGACTGCTCTTCCAGAGGACCCCGGTTCAATTCCCAGCACCCACATGGCAGCTAATAACTGTAACTCCAAGCAAGATCTGACACTCTCATACAGACACACATGCAGGCAAAGCACCAATGCACATAAAATAAAAAATAAATAAGATTATAATTAATAAATAAATAAATACACATTAGATATAAACTTACAATCCTGACTTCCTCCAGAGAGTTCTGTGCAGTTCTTTCCGCTGGATTTTCTGCTGTCTCTAATACTCTTGCTTCCAATCCTCTTGTCCTCCTGCTGGCCCAAGGAGACACTAATCCAGGCCTTTTAGCTGTTAACTCTTTGTAGGTCTGTTTTTAGCTTTCTTTCTAGTGAAGACTGTACTTTTTCTTCACGTGTGTTGACCTTGGAGAGACAGCATTGAAACCATTCCTTAACACATGAACTTCTCCACTAAAACTACAGCTAGAAAATACATGTTTGACTCAGGGGTAATAAAAATGAGTTGGTAAGCACTCGGGAGGCAGAGCCAGGCGGATCTCTGTGAGTTCGAGGCCAGCCTGGACTACCAAGTGAGTCCCAGGAAAGGCGCAAAGCTACACAGAGAAACCCTGTCTCGAAAAACCAAAAAAAAAAAAAAATGAGTTGGTACTGGGGAAGTGACTTTTACATCTGTTGTTGAAGGGCCAGGTGTAGGAGCCCTGTCTGCAATCCCTGGACTCGGAGAGGCTGAGGCATGAATGCTCTGAGTTGGAGGTCAACAGGGTTACATAGTGCGTCTGTGGTTAGCCTGGGCTACGCAGCA